CCTTTTTAAAGACGAAAGAAAATGGAGAAGGAGGAGGAGAAGAAAATGAAGAAGATCAGGAGGAGAAGGAAATGAAGAGGAGGAGGAGGAGGGGAAGAAAAAGAAGAAAAAAAAACAGCAAGAAGAAGGCATTTCTTTCTAGCCTGGTGCTGACCAGCTGGAGAAAACTGACAACTGAGACAAGGGCTAAATGTATCTGAGGCAGAGGTTGATAGTGGCAGAAAAAAACTGCAAAGTTAGAGGGGCAGAGAAAATGATCTGAGATTAAAACGTGGGACAAACTGTTGTGGAGGAACATGATAACCTGCGATTCCTAGTTATAACACATTCCTATCCTCATTATAAAGTGACTATAACAGAAACAACTATATTGAATCACTATTATGATAACAGATAAATATAAAAATGCAATAAATATAATATGAAAAACATATAACTTGGATACATGCTGATATCAAAATAAATATTACAAGCAGTAAATATAAAAAAGTTGAACAGTATAAAACCATTCTGTACACCCACCCCCCCCCCCCCCCCCATACAAAATAATAAATAAATAAAAACTGCAACTGTAAAACAGGGCAACTGCATAAATAAACCAGAGTGTTATTTGTGCAATAATTTATTACAGCTGCCTGATGATGACGCATAGCTGCCTGTTGACACAAAAGACATTATAAAAATAAATATATTTTCCCACCGTGAATGTTAACAACAAAGAAACAATAGACAGCACAAATTACTGACTGACATATTTGGTTGTATGTCATCATGGGCTTGCAACATAACCAGATCTACATACAGTGAAGTAAAATAAGGGATCCTAGCTTACATACACAACATCCCACATACCTGTATTTCAAGGAAAGTGTTACCACAGTAGTTTTACAAATACTTAGAGACCAAAAAAAGCATCAGTTCATGTTAAAACAGCCATGATAAACTGTGCTGGGTGAATTTTATTTTTTGCGACATACAGTGAAAGGTTGAAAACACCAAAGCCTCAAATTGGGTCTCACCAATAAGAGCCAAGTGTTACAACCAGAAAAAAATAAAAACAAATGTTTAAAACTACCGTGGTAATGCAAGGAAATATAGGATTATGTGGGTGCTTCGTGTATTTCAGCTAGAAAGATCAAGTTTTCATTTTATTGTATGTTGACTTATATTACCAAATTACACCAACATGTGGTAAAACAAGAGTTTCAGGTTTTGCAGAATGCTTATTTAATTCTGCAGGTTGCACATGACAATATAGTGTGAAATAGGACAGGCAGTTAATTGTAGAATCTATTGTCTCTCTATTATTCCAGTCACAAAACAGGAAGGCTCAGATAAATAAATGAGTCTCTTAAGGAACAAAAAGTACAGTTTTCAACATCCCATATACACTGCACTGATAATGTTTTTTTTTTCTTTTTTATAAATGAACAGTGACCCATATCCTGTATATCTAAAGAGGTACAGTAAAGATTCTTGATCCATGCATTGATCTGATTTAGTAATCTTTCTGCTAGCTTCATTTTTTTTTCCCACACTTCAACACCCAGCTGGTGGTTTGTTCAACATCACAAAAGCCGCTTTTAATTCCTACAACATTTTTTAGTAAGCATTTTTAGATTCATTATCATTCATGGAGCCCATAAACAAAAATTCCAGCCTTGATCAAGGGACTGGCAAGCCAGCAAGCAAGTACATTAACTACTGCATGATGCTGTTTCCCTGCATATCTAGGCAGATGATCACATTCTATAAAAGTCAATGGCACAAAACAGCTACCACTAATATGATACTTCCTCATTGTACCACATTCTTTTCTAATTAATCAAACAAGCTATATCTGTATGCACTGGTTTTCTTCTATTAAAAAAAAAAAAAACCTGGTATTTCCACAAAATGTATAAAAAAAAAAGGTCAGTACTCACCTCTAAGTGTCTATTACAGTACCTCTGGGCAAAAAAATGATGCCTTTAAAAGATTCAAATATTTTGTACTGTTGTGTACCACACATACACACACAAAGCTCGGTCTATATACATTTATTTACCTGTCTGAAATAGACCAATTGCTCCATAGATAAATTCCTTTTCTATTTTACTTACACTGACATTTTAATTATGTAATTTTTGTTTTGTTTTTCAACTTAAATCACTTTTACTCAACAACAAATAACTTCCACATATGCTAATTTACTTTTATAGATCACATAAAAGGCATTTCATCACAGTGCACAAATCCAGGATCCAAAATATGTACACCAAATGTATACAAGTTAACATTGTTTGTTTATTGTAGAAATTTATCTTGGGTAGCAGCTCCTTCCACACTGACTTCTGTCTGGGATTTTGAAACAACAAGATGTACACAGATCCATTCAGTTTTGCTTACCTATCTGAGAAAGCTAGACATCTGATTCATTAGCCACACACACACACACACACCAATGAGATTATATTACCTTCAAGTTTCCTATTCTATAGAAACTCGTATGAAATGAACCCAGTATGACTGATTCAGGGCAGACAAGTTATCTCTGAGCCAGTGTCAATTAATCCTTTAAATAGAAATACATATGCGGCAGACAATAGTTCTACTAAATATCACACTCCAGCTCTACTTCTTGATAACCATTTCAGCAGTCACATGTAGCTATCACGTTGTGACTTTCTGCAAAAGGTGATCATTTACGGGGCATATCATGTCTCCTTTGAACAAACTTTTATCTTTCTCCTGGAGGCCAACCAATCAGTCTTTGATCAAGAGATCAAGGACACACGTGTCAGAACTCTCAAATGTCATTTCCCCCCCTTCATTGTAAGCAAATTATTTTGCCAGTACTTGCTGTAACATGTCCATTGAATTTCAGATGCAATTTCTGTTGGTCATTCAATACACATAATCATATCAATAATATAGCATACTTTTGTATAACTTAAAGAAAGCTGCGTATCATTTGAAAGTATAACAACATCAGCAGCATGAACACAGGAGAAAGACATTTTACAATGGTTGGAAGCAACTGATTACACTGTTACACACAATGCATTACAGTAATATGTAGCAGAAAGCCTTAGTTTTCAAGTACTGGAACCATATGATAAAATTTAAATGTTTAGAAAATAGCTTCAACAAACCTCAATAACGGCACAATAATCTCTCTAGGTACAGTATTAATAAATATCAGAATCACGGTACAGTATATAAATTTGTGTGTGTATACACATAGGCACACCTACATTTGTGTGTGTATGTATGTGTATGTATACATAGGCACACCTACATTTTTGTGTGTATGTGTGTGTATGCGTGTGTGTATACGTGTGTGTATGCGTATGTGTGTGCATGCGCTTTCGCGTACGTATATAAATACACATATATATATTTTAATGGTAATAGTGTGGATTTCACGTATACACCTACACTATACAATGATTTCAAAGATGTCCCGTGCATGAATGTACAGAAATATCTACATCTGTAGCAATATATTATTAGACTGTGGAGCAAGAAATGCTAGGGACTAATATCAATACACACCATAAGGAAATGCAGGAGTCTGCTGGGATTTCAGCAACAAATATTTGTTACAGGACCCAGTCTGGTGACACCAGCATCAACCACTGCTACAGGCTTTGGTTTAGCTGCCATCTCTTTCAAGATGAGCCACAATGCTAAGCAATGAAATCAATTTATCTCAGAAAGTATTAGTGCTATGGCTGCATCTTCATATCTTTGATCAATCTCAGAAGGTATAATGTGCATAATGTGTTCTGTGACTAATCTCAGAAAGTATTATTAGTGCTATGGCTGCATCTTCATATCTTTGATCAATCTCAGAAGGTATAATGTGCATAATGTGTTCTGTGACTAATCTCAGAAAGTATTATTAGTGCTATGGCTGCATCTTCATATCTTTGATCAATCTCAGAAGGTATAATGTGCATAATGTGTTCTGTGACTAATCTCAAAGTATTATTAGTGCTATGGCTGCATCTTCATACCTTTGATTTATTAAGCTCAGAGGGTATAATTTGTTCCATGTCTGCATCTTCATATCTTTGATTAATCTCAGAAGGTATACATGTTCTGTGACTACATCTTTATATACCTTTAAATAATCTCAGAAAGTATAATTTGCTTTATGGCTGCATCTTAATTTTTTCGATTTATTTGGCTCAGAAGGTATAATTTATTGTGTCTGCATCTTCATGTGTTTGATTAATCTCAGAAGGTACAACATGTTCCATGGCTGCATCTTTATGTTTGTTTTCTAACTATGCAGAAACACAAATTTAACAGACCACAATCTCAAGTAAATGGGCCCTTTTCTACGCCTTTAGATATGGGAATATAGGGCTAAACCTACCGTTTTATAGACCAATCGGCACTTGGTGGGTGATGTGGTCAGCACCTTTACTTCCCAGGACTGCACCTGGTACCCACTCAAGGCTGGATCGACCAGGAAGTCAAGGTCATTTTTTAAAGAAATTTCGGCTCCGTTAGGACGCGAACCCACAACCTTCTGGTCCTCAAGCAGACATAATATCTCAAGTGCTTCACTATTACCTCACAGTGGTGAAAACTAATAAAAGATGCTGGCACTGGATAAGACACATCTTGAGAAAATCTAACTACTAGTGTAACTAGAAAGTTCTTCTTCTGGAATTCACGAGGCTAACAAAATGTAGGAAGATCAAAAACTGTATGAAGAAGAGAATTAAAGTCAGAGATGGATGACATCAGAAAGCCATAGAAGAAACCACAAGTGACAGCAAAGACTAGGAGAATCTGGCGTGAGTTTGACTGAAGATCTATACTCACCTGTAAGAATAAACTTCAAAAGCAGAAGAATTATATCACCAAATCTTGATTTTTTTTTTTATCTAAAGAAAAGTGCCTTGCTTTCATTTTCACAATACAACTAAAATCAAGCAAGCAGGCATGAATGCTTAGTACAACTGCGATAATTTTTAGGGCAAATTCTACTTTTTATGTTGAAATTAAATACCATTAAGATATTTCTCAGTGCTTTCATTAATGTCTCGGAAACAAGCGCTCATATTTTCTTCCTGTACATTAGAGAGAGTTTCTGGTGGACTGAGCTTCAACTCATTCACTGGGATGAACTCCGCACCTTTTAAAATCAGGTCCTTGTTGCTACCCTTCTCAACACAGTCAATCTGTGACTGGGTAATGGGAGACAGGACTTCTCCATGGGTGTTGATCTGGGCTAGTGCAGTGCTGTAAGTATCATAGGTGATCTCTGATAAGGTCTCTGGTGGTATAAATGATTCCCCATCAAGTGGCTTGGTCTCCATATGAACATGTTCCAAAACCTTTGACAGTTTATGAAACTGATCAATAATGCCTTCCATATTTAATTTATCTGCAACAACAGGCAGATCCATTTCGCTCAGTTCTTTTTCTGGGCAGCAGCTGTCTGTACAGCTTTGGACATGTGGAGGAGTCTGTGGTCTTGTGGGATCATCAGCATGCAAGCTGGCAGCAAAATCCAGCTTTTCCAAGTCAGATCCTGGGCTATCACATTCGCTGGGCATCTGGTCTTGAACAGATACACCAGTGTTAGAAGTCACATCAGATGAGTATCCTGCATCTTCTGATAACAGTTTTAAGAGCCCAAATTTCTTAGGAAACCAGCCTGGGTTGCTCTCCTCAAAGTCTTCTTCGGCCTTGATTGCAGACAGTAATCTGGCTCCTTCAGGCAGACTAGGAATGTTCTCAACATACAAGGGCAACAATTTCTGAATAGAGATTAAAAAGTAGCATTTAAAATGTGAAAATTATCTTCATAAACTGAATGGAGATAAAAAATAAAATTTAAATTGTCTTTATACATATTCTTAAGAAAGAAAAAATATGTTGAAAATATTTATAATACTTTAGAAGAGTCACTGCTAGAGATCCCTTTCAATGCACACGATCATGAGATGGGCTGCAAGAAAATTATATGAATCCTTTTCATAGCCAATTTTTATTTACTCAAATGCTTTTCAGTAAAAAGTTGAAAGAAAATATTCCAGCCTTACCAATACCACAAGCAAAAAAAGTCTATAAATATTTGTTTTTCTTGTTCTCCTGCATTCAATCTCAAAAAGGTGGTTGGTGCATTGTATAGTGGTTTACAGCCAGGCTGCAACATCTGTCTCTTTTGGCCTAAAACATCAGATTTCAGCAAATCCCTAATGAGTTGCCTTTTATAACGATTCCCCCCCCCCCCTCAAAATCGGGCCCTGGAACCCACATGGGCAGCTTATTTTCTGATCACTTGAGGTTTAGAGGATGGATGAACAGCACAGTACAAGTGCTCCTTTCTACTGCTGACTCAAGTCTCAGTCCAAAGAATCTTAGCGCAATGCACCAACTCTGAAGCACCGGCGAGGATCCTGAAATACTTTGGGTAGATTTTTAACTCTAAAATTTTGCTGAGGCAGCGCCGTTAGGCAACTCTACAACAATACACACAGGCATTCATCTTACTACCCAGAGACCAGCGGAAATTACTAGAAGTCCACGTGAAAAAAAACCCAGCCTTCACCTGGGCTTGAACCCATGACCTCCAGCACTCAAGGCGGAAACCATGCCCCGAGACCATGCAACCCCCAATTCAACTTATCAGATAAAATACTCACATCATAAGCCTCGGTGTTCTCCTTGCTGAAATTATGGAGCTTCTGTAGAAGCCCTAGCAGATCGTTGGGAAGTGTGTATACCACTGAGACTTGCAAGTATTTCTGACAGCATTTCCCATTAAATGAGACCAGAATTAACTTGTTTTCTCGGACGATCTCACTTTGCATCAAATATCTGACACCAAGCAGAAATAAGTCATCCTCCAGACTGGCTGGTTTGGTTCTGCACAATTTCATGTTCAGGTAAGCTACAATGAGGCTTTCTGCAGCCCTAGAGTTGAGAAATATAATGTAGTCCGCAGAGCTGATTCTAGAGAGGAACCACTGGTATTTTTCTGACTCATCGCCATCAAAGGGCATCAGTGAAATCACTCTACAATGGCAGTGTACCTGTGGAGTAGAACCGTAAAGTGTCATCAGATAATCCTCACTGTGTATCGAATCATTCAGTCCCTAAGAAATGTCAGAGAGTTGATTATGTGCCGTTTAGTTTTTACTGATTATCCTCCTTACACTGTATAGCAGGGCTATTCAACTAAGTCTGCTCGCGGGCCAAAATGTTGAACATGGAGATCGTCGCGGGCCAGTGGCCAGAGCCGACACTACAACTGACATTTTGAATCTGTAGATTTATTACATTCCAAAACTATTATGCCTAGGACGTAGCCTATATGAATGAAGCAGTGTTGTAAACCATTATAATGTAAAGTGTACTACAATCAGTGTCTTCTGTAATAATTATTGAATACTCACTTTTAATTATTCTTTTTCATAATTACCGGCTGTAAACTCCAGCGGAGAGTCCTGTATGTTCGTCTACTTCTGGACACTAGTCCTGTTCCAGAAACTGAGTGTTGGGTACACATTTGTTTTACATGTCTTACTCATTTGCATGCAGACTGTTGGTTCCTTGGCTCTCAGGCAGATGTACTCTGACTTCGAAAAATCTCCCAATTAGTCGACTCTTACAACATTCATTTGGGCAGGCAGTGGGTCTATTCTTGTTTTTCCCCACAATACCCCCCCCCCCCCCCCCCCCCCCCCCCCCCCCGCGATCAATTTTAATTAATATACACATATTTCCAACTTGTCGTTGGGATCATAAATAAACGTTGCATATGTCGCTCCCATTACATTGTCATAATAATAATAACTGTCCACAGTTGGTTTCATATTCTGCAGAAGAAACCGAAATGTATAACGATTGCAAAATGTAATTAATAGGAAATGCTGTATTTTTTGAGCTAATTTGGTGCCCAGTTAGAACAGTGATTCTAAAACAGTGTGCCGCGGCACCCAGAGGAGCCGCGGCCTCTTCACATGGGCGTCGTGAAATATTCAAAGATACACAAAATTTTTTTTTTTAATCTATTACATTCGAATAGTTTTATTTTTACTTAGGTTAGGGCGCAGTGGAAAAAATTTTAATTGAAAAAAGTAGCTCTGACTAAGAAAGGTTTGGAAAACACTGAGTTAGAGCAATTCTCATGCAGTCCTGCAGGGTATCATTGCATAGAGAGCTCTGACTGTTTGTCTTGATGATATTCATGTGTAAGAATCTTGATTCACAAGATAAAGTTGTGCCATATATGGTGAATATGAAATCTGCAACTTTTTTAGTATTCGGGAACTGCTCCTGTTGAATCCCTTTGTACCAAAACTTAGCGGTACCACTTTTTTTAAAATTTTCATTCACTGCGCTGGAACTGGATATCCACAAGTTTTAACTGCAGAAAACCTTCATCAACAGAGGATATCATCTTCTTAGCACTGAAAGAAAAATCACCCGCAGGGATTTTAAAAGGATCTCGAACGAATAACATTACATTGTTTGGGATATTGAAGGTGTCAAATCTGTTGTCGAAATTATTCTGAAGTTTTTTTAAATTATATAATTTGATCAGTTAAGATTGCCGAGTCCAGTGTTGAGAAAATAAAACAGCAAGCATACTGGTCTCGAATTAGGCATAGTTGGTGATATAAATAAATATGTCAGTGTCCAGTTACTGTTGAATGAACGATTTTCACATTCCCACTTTGCACACTTACTAGTGCTAGCCAGGGCATCAAGTATTTAACTAAATGATTAAAAGTAGATAATGTAAAACACTTACTGATTCAGTTTGTTACTGTACAATCGCGCCCGGCAATCTACGTCTGACTGATTTGTATGTGACTGAGCGTTCCAGAAAATTTTTATTATAATTTGATAACAAGATCACTAGCAGGTATTCTGCGGTGTCCATTGTCACTGATGTTCTACTGCGCAAAATGTCATTGATTTGTGTGTACTAGTGGCGCCCATTAAGGAGAGATTCTCTGTAATCTAAGCTCTAACTGTCAGGACCGTGCTGGTATTTCCGCACGCCTCCTGTCCAATAAATATCTCGCCTTCATTGACTGTCCACTGCAGCAGTGGCTTTCCTACCTGTTCCAGCCTATCTTATTACCTTTGGCTTCAAACAGGCGAGTTTTGCTATTTGAACGAAATGGAAACGAACTTTTACCCTGAACTAATTACATTTTATGTTCCTATGCCGGTTCCCTTGTATCTCCTCATTTACTGATCCCTGACAAACATTTCCTATTGACACATTCGACACAACTTTTTTTTTTAAAGATTTATACAAAAACATTTATTTATTTAATGTTTTTCTTTTTAAATAACTACATTTAACTATTTTGGCAACGATCGGTGGGCCAGATTTTGCCCGCGGGCCGCCAGTTGAACAGCCCTGCTGTATTGTTCATGTTTTGGATGATACAATGAATTTGTGCGATTCAAGTGTGTGTGTGTGGCGTGTACACATTTTTGTTTTGCTAAGGACTTTATGGAATATCTGAAAAATTCAAAGTTCAGGAGCTTGGTTTTCTTTTCCTTTCGGTCATTCTCTAATAAATCCCACAAAATGTAGCAGCTGACATCACCAGTTCTGAGTTGGGTTTATTATTATCATCATTATTTTGCCTCCTGTGTAAGGCTTTTCTTTGGTCACACCCCTTTTTTTAACCTGCTGTTCCTGCAGTCAGATCATGGTGCAGATTCAGTCATCTCTTAGTTCTCACAAACATCTTACTTATCGTAGAGCATTTAGTACGTCAACCTGGTCCATTGCATGTCCTGCCTCTACACACGTCTGTTTATTTCCCTGTGAGAATGAAAATGTTTTTGTCAGCCTTGACCATCTCAGAGACTTAACCCTATCTTAAGGCCCAGCCTGTCTCTTTGTGAGCATCTTCACCGAGTCAATGAAAAGAGCATGCCCAAGTGAAGGTCCTTGTCTCTAACCAGGCATAAGTCACTGCCACGACATGTCAGACTACCTGTAGTCAATGCAAAAGCACCAAAATAGAACAGTGCAGTACAACAGCTGTTATGTGATGAATGATCAAGAGGAAATGTTACAGCAGAAAACACTGAGTACAACAATGAAGACAACAGGGGGTTGAGTTTAACAACAACTACAGGAGAAGCCTTCCGATTGTCAACATGTTTGCTTTCCTACACAGAGTTCCTGTTCGATCCCTAATTGTGGGGGTATTCATACAAAGCCCTCTTTCTCTTTCTTCTTTTTTTATTTATTTGTTCATTTTAAAAAGTGCAGTTCGCACATTGTTAATATTATATTTATTATTATTAGACATATTTATATATATATATATATATATATATATATATATATATATATATATATATATATATATATATATATATATATATATATATATATATATATATATATTGTGCTTTACAGCCAGGCTGTGATATCTGCAAATTCTGGTTCAGCACACCCAACTGCGGCAAACCTCTAATTAGTGTCCTTTTATCAGATGTTTATTGTAGAGGGGCCAGGTAGTTTTTTTTTGTTTTTTTTTTACCCCCAAAAAGGAGCTTAAAAAAACCACAAAGGTAAAACAAAGAATTAAAAGACTTCAAGCTAGATACATGTATTCAATGCTGTCCTTAGGAATATTATGTGCTGAACCCCAATCTCTTCTATGCTGTGACTCTCATACCATGTGCACAAAAGGCAAGAGAACAATTTTCTAAACTGTCTGCTGCAGAAATTAATGCTGGTATGTCAGAAACTGAACCCTGGAATTTGAGTATTGTGAAACGCACTCACTAGCCCCACAGCTGCAGATTAAATGTAGAACATCAAATGATGCTAAAAAATAACATTATTTCATGCAAACTCAAATGACTTAAAATAGAACATATAATTATGTTCAGAAAAAAAAAACTATACTTACATTCAAGAATGCAATCAAAGCCTCAACAAGCTGCACATGCGGCTGATGGTCCCTGGCATATATGATGTAGACAAGTTTCTCAGCCAGTGGTACAGCAGCACAACCTTGTGATTTTGCTGAAAATTTCAATTTATTTTACATTTTAAATAAAGAAATAAGCAGTTCAGTCATCAGATTATCTTCACTGCACATCGAACCATTCAGTCCTGCAGCAAAGACTGGCATATGATTTCATAACGTCTAGTTTGAGAATGGTGGCCATCACTGCTGCTTTATGCTGGCTTCAGAATCAGCCGTACACACATGCCGTTAACAGTAACTGACTCATACAGCATGCTGTGAAAGGTGGAGACAGGCATGCTCCATGCAGAGTGGAAAACATCTCTTTAGAGGTCCTGAGTAGTTAGTGTCCTTTGGATATTTTCTCTAGGTCATGCAGGTGTGTTGGGAAATGAGCAGGCAGAAAGACTCATTTGTACATACCACTTGGTGGTGAACTGATGTGTGTAAAAGCTAGATGTTGCGAGGGTTCTTTGGGAGCGAGTGAACAGTGGAGAGGCACAAACAGATGAGGAGAAAGGCATTGCGAGGAGGGGATCTCAGACAGTGCTGGTGCCATCAGAATTGAAATTCTTCGACTGCTGCTGAAGATGGAGACGGACTTTTATGGGAGTGTCCTGAGTGCTGTGATGCTGATTCTTAATTCAGCATTCAACATCCATTCTGTCCAACAGTGCTTAGATCCCCTCCTCAGTAAATCCTGCTGCAGGAAGCAGCTGAGGATACCATTTCTGTGTTGGTTTCTTATTCTTCTTTGGCTTCCTGCATAGTGCTCTTGTCCGGTCACCCCCCTTTTGACATATTGTTCTTGCAGTCTGGGCACAGTCATAGATTCACAATAATCACGTGGTTCTTGAAAATCTCTTACTTCCTGAAGAACATTCAAAATATAATGCTTTGCCCATGGCTCATCCGCCTTCCACAACAGCTTTACCCGCAAGCCTAATCAGCATGCTCAAATATGAAACATATGTGTCAGTCCCGACTGTTTCAAAGATTCCAAAACAATCATCAAATCCAGTCTTATCTCTATCTTCCGGAGCATACTCATCAAGTCACTGAAAAAGAATGCATGGGGAAAGGTCTGTGTCTCCAGCTAGGTTACTGCTTTTGTCACTGCCATGACCTCGATAGACAGACTACTTGTGGTCAACACAACAACACCAGAATCTTGCTTCACAATTCTAACTCCAACTTGAACTGTAAAAGTTCACGAGCTTCTCACAGACTTATGTGTGTAAATGATAGCATCCTCCTCTAGAAAATTCGCAAAAATAAAAGTCAACACTTCTGCCTCCACAGCAACCTGACTTTCTTGTCTGCATTTTCTGTCGAGTCAGATACAAACAGAAAAGGTCGTACATCTCTCTATTGGTACTTGTACCCCTATTTCTCACAAGGTTCTATGTGCTCAAGTGAACACACCTGCTGAATAATGTCCTCAGCCTGACCCATCCACAGTTTTCCTCTTTTTTTTTTTAAAAACCTGCTGCCTTTTTCTTCTTAATTTCACTATGCAGCAAGTACTGTGAGTCTGTGTTGACTGAGGAAGGCTCATGTTTGGCAAACTTGTATTCTGTCATCCAAGGTTGGAAAATCAAGAAGGTAGCACATCACCGTGCATGTTGTATCTCTAGTACATCCAAGTATAATGTGCATAGCCTCACTCTGCATCCTTTCCATCTTTTCCATATGCATATAGCTGAGAGCTATGATTGCCACCGTACACTCAAAAATAGAATAGACCAGAAACTGATATAGAGGACACACATGTAGCTGCTCACAGTTTGCCGCTGCGATCAATCTCATCGCAGCCAAACCACGTTGGGCTTTTATTATCATCTTGTCTATATGCTGGGTATAAGCAAGGCTTCTATCAAAATGTACCCCCAAGTACATCATTGCCTATGTTTTTGACACAATCTCTGAGCACAGACTCACAGTTGGCATTGGGGTGTTGACAATATGGTTATCCAAAGAGAACCACATCACTGCTGCCTTTGTCGGATTGACCAATCCATAAGCTTCACCACACCAACTGCTTATGTGACTGAATTCTGTCTGTAGTTCTCCAGCAACCTGCTCTCTGTCTTTAGCTTGCGGATACACTAACACAAAGTCGGTGTACAGCAATCTCTTCCCCTGTCCTGTGATATCCTCACTTGTAATCCTCATTGTGTAAATGCTGAACGGCAGGAAGATAATGGTGATCCCTGTGGCAGGCGGAAATGTATGGTTGTAGGTTCGGAAGTCCAGTTGCCACATCTAAAAACTACTTATCATTGGGAGAGGGCTGCAGATATCCAACTGAGAAGGGAATGGACTTATTTGGAGTTCAGGAAGCTGAAACATTAAAAAATCCAGCGATACCCTGTTTTACTCAAGATCAATAGCCTACATTACAATGCCTACAGGTTATGGCCAAAAACTGCCAGTCAGCTGGGTAAAACAGCTCCTCGTTGATGCTAGCTTTAGTTATACTGTTATCGTACAAATCTGCTAGTTCTTCAAGCTCGTCTTCAGTAGACCTACCAAGTCATCGTATCTTATACCATGTGGATCTGGTGCAGTTTTCTTTGTCGTTCATCATAGCACAGCCTTGATCTCATACACTGTCACTATGTCATCTTCTGCAATTTTCTGGGACTTACACCTCTCTGAGGTAATCATTTTGGCAAAGCTGCAGCCTGGTTACTCCGCTGTAAATTAGTGTTCTAAATAGGCCTAGCCCTTATTTTCATCAGTCCTCTAACAGGTGAAGTCGGCATTCTGAAAGTCAGGAGCACTCCTGTTTTTTACAACACCATTACACTTTTAAGCAGTCGCCAGAAAATTTTCAGTGATTTATCTTTGCTTATTCTGTGACACAGCTCTGCCCACTTCTCACCTTAACCAGCTTTTTCAAGTAACCAACTTTTATGTCCATGTCTATTTTCAGATGCAGGATATCACTAGATTGGGTGACTTTCTTTTGTCATTCTGCCACTCCTTTACAGCTATACGCTTATCCATCCACGCCTTTTCCAACTCACAATTCCATCATGGGGGCTACTCCCATATTCTCTTCTTTGTTGATTCCTGCGCTTATCTCGCCTTAGTTTACACACCACATCCTGTCTTTTAATGTCATAATTGCAAGTTCTGACCTTTGGCTTGTGCTTTCATTATCTGCTTTTCCCCACCAATATCCTGCAAGGGTGGTGTCGCTACCATAGTACCCTAGCACATTCCACCAAAGTGAGAGAATAAAAACCTGAGCCAGGTCAATAACACTGTCGTCATCACCTGGTTGACTTACTGTCCTGGTAACACAGCCATTGTCACTACAAACCAGGTCAATAGCTTCAAGCGCAGTCTCAAGCTCCTCCCCTTGTGCGCTGGAGGAAATGTTTAACCATGATCAGCCTTTTGCATTGAAATCACCATAGAAAATTACATTCTGCTCTTCATGTATTAAAATTTCACTCAAGCGCTACTATCTTTAGGACCCATGCTTGCATTGAAAGCATAAATATTTCTTCTTCTTCTTCTTCTTCACTTCCTCTTTTACCGCTGTGGGTGTCGAGGGAGATATAAGGTCCTGTTTCTAGCTCTTCTGGCTGCCTCAACCATAGGCACATCATGCTGTTGTAGAGTTTCTCTGATGTTATCCTTCCATCTTGTTCTTGGTCTACCCCGTGCTCTATGTCCTTCTCTTTCCATGTATGCTTTGTATGGTATGGTGTCACAAGGCATTCTCTCTAAGTGGGCAAACCATTTCACTTGCTGTCTTTGTATGTAATCCAGAATTGGTTCTGTGCCGACTTGTTCTCTTATGATCTCATTCCTGATCTTATCTCTTATGGTCACTTATACATGTCCACCTCTGAAGCCATTTTACTGTTTCAAACAAGTATGGCCAAACCGAGGTGTTGTCTGCTGTAAAAACACTTAAACATAGCTATGTGAAGTGTGTTGTCACCGATGTGTGACTTCTGTAGAGCTACAATATCAACGTTGTATGCCTGTCACCTTCTAGGTTTTTGTATGATTACATCACATGGTATCGGTAAACACACATGCTGAAAGAAACTCAAAAATGGTTTAGCACAGATACATGAACTTGGAAGCACCGACTTTTGCCATGAATATACTCTCTCTTAGACTGCTGACCATCTCTTTTCTCCAGTATGGTTTTCATAAGAGTATTACATCTGTTAATATGGTAGAAATATTTCACTTGACACTTTCATTTCCATCAGAAAGATGCTTTTCAAACAAGATAAAGGTAATTTCAAGGCAGAGATTGGAAACATTTTAACAAATTTTATGCCAAGATCTAATGAGGCAGGACATTAGTTTCTTTCTTAGCTGTCTTTCTTTTTAACAGAAAATTTACAGAGAACATGAGCTCTTGCATTGGAGCAATTAGAATAAGACCTATTGACCATCATTTCCCTGACTATGAAGTACTGGCCAACAATTCCCAGACTATAACCTACTGACCAACATTTCTCAGACTATGACCTATTTGCCAACAATTCCCAGACTATAACCTACTGACCACCATTTTCCAGAGTATGACTTACTGGCTAACAATTCCCAGACTATAACCTACTGACCACCATTTTCCAGAATATGACTTACTGGCTAACAATTCCCAGACTATAACCTACTGACCACCATTTCCCAGAATATGACTTACTGGCTAACAATTCCCAGACTATAACCTACTGACCACAATTTCCCAGAATATGGCTTACTGGCTAACAATTCCCAGACTATAACCTACTGACCACCATTTCCCAGAATATGACTTACTGGCTGACAATTCCCAGACTATGACCTTCTGACCACAATTTCCCAGAATATGACTTACTGGCTAACAATTCCCAGACTTTAACCTACTGACCACCATTTCCCAGAATATGACTTACTGGCTAACAATTCCCAGACTATGACCTATTGGCCAACATTTCCAAGACTATGACCTATTGGCAAACATTTCTCAGACTATGACATACTGACCAACATTTCCCAGACTATAACCTATTGGCCAAACTTTTCCCAGACTATGACCTATTGGCAAACATTTCCCAGACTATGACCTACTGACCAACATTTCCCAGATTATAACCTACTGACCAACAGAAAATTTACAAAGAACATGAGCTCTTGCATTGGAGCAATAAGAATAAGACCTATTGACCATCATTTCCCTGACTATGAAGTACTGGCCAACAATTCCCAGACTATAACCTACTGACCAACATTTCTCAGACTATGACCTATTTGCCAACAATTCCCAGACTATAACCTACTGACCAACATTTCTCAGACTATGACTTACTGGCTAACAATTCCCAGACTATAACCTACTGACCACAATTTCCCAGAATATGACTTACTGGCTAACAATTCCCAGACTATAACCTACTGACCACAATTTCCCAGAGTATGACTTACTGGCTAACAATTCCCAGACTATAACCTACTGACCACCATTTTCCAGAATATGACTTACTGGCTAACAATTCCCAGACTTTAACCTACTGACCACCATTTCCCAGAATATGACTTACTGGCTAACAATTCCCAGACTATAACCTACTGACCACAATTTTCCAGAATATGGCTTACTGGCTAACAATTCCCAGACTATAACCTACTGACCACCATTTCCCAGAATATGACTTACTGGCTAACAATTCCCAGACTTTAACCTACTGACCACCATTTCCCAGAATATGACTTACTGGCTAACAATTCCCAGACTATAACCTTCTGACCACAATTTCCCAGAATATGACTTACTGGCTAACAATTCCCAGACTTTAACCTACTGACCACCATTTCCCAGAATATGACTTACTGGCTAACAATTCCCAGACTATGACCTACTGGCCAACATTTCCAAGACTATGACCTATTGGCCAACATTTCTCAGACTATGACCTATTGGCCAACATTTCTCAGTCTATGACCTACTGACCAACATTTTCCACACTATGACCAATTGGCCAACATTTTCCACACTATGACCTATTGGCCAACATTTTCCAGACTACAACCTACTGACCAAAATTTCCCAAGACTATAACCTACTGACCAACATTTCTCAGAATATGACCTATTGGCCAACAATTCCCAGACTATAACCTACTGCCCGACATTTCCCAGAATATGACCTATTGGCCAACTATTACCAGACTATACCCTACTAACCAACATTTCCCAGAATATGACCTATTGGCCAACTTTTCCCAGACTATGACCTATTGGCAAACATTTCCCAGACTATGACTTACTGACCAACATTTCCCAGATTATAACCTACTGACCAACATTTCCCAGAATATGACCTATTGGCTAACAATTCCCAGACTAACCTACTGACCAACATTTTCCAGACTATAACCTACTGACCAACATTTCCCAGACTATAACCTACTAATTAACATTTCCCAGACTATAACCTACTAACCAACATTTTCCAGAATATGACCTATTGTCAACAATTCCCAGACTATAACCCACTGACCAACATTTTCCAGACTATGACCTTCTAAGCAACATGTCAGAAACAAGACTTTGACTTACTGACAAAATTTCACAAATACAACATAAACTGAAAATCTAGACCCACCTGGATCAGAATCAGACCAACTGTTGTTAACATCTTTAGGTTTTCCACTTCCTTTCCGATGCTTTTTCTTTACACAGACTGCAAACACAAAAGCAACATGAAATGAGGTGCTGCAACTAACACCTGATTGGCTAAAACAGCTGGCTAGTTATAAACCTACTCTTCTTCATTTGTCTTTAAAAGGCTGGTTAGCTCAATGTGTTATGGTAATAGCTAGATCCCAATAACTTGCCTTTAGGTCCAAACATCCAATGTCAGGGAAACTATCATTAGCTACCTTTTATGACATGCTTGTTAGGGGATTAGGGGTCTGGTTCCCCCCCCCCCCCCCTCCATTTTTTTCTTAATGTGATCCCAAAACCCACATGGAGAATCTGATTGGCTTAAGCAGTTGGCTACAATGATTAAATCGTTCAACACTTAGCATTTACCATGCACTTGTTGGTTTCAAGTGAATCAATCTTTTCAGAACTCCTTTGTCCCAACTGTTACTTCAACTCCTCTTGTCTCAAAGCATTATTTTGACTCTTCAGGCTTAAATATTTATTACTTAATTCTTTAAGCCTCAAGCCGCGCATCACGTGTGATGAACCCATTCTCATCAATCCCAAAATTACACGTTTTTTTTCCCTTCATTTTATCAACGAATACTGTAAAAATCTGGCGGTTTCAGTTGCTGTTTTGAAATGTGGTACTGGTGATTTTTCAAAGTGGTTATTTCTCTCAGTGAACAGTTCTGGGTCTGGAGATAACTTTTCCACAATGCTATCTCTTAAAATATGTTTATGTGATTCCTCCCATGGTCTGAAGATAACTTTTCCACAATGCTATCTCTTAAAATATGTTTATGTGATTCCTCCCATGGTCTGAAGATAACTTTTCCACAATGCTATCTCTTAAAATATGTTTATGTGATTCCTCCCATGGTCTGAAGATAACTTTTCCACAATGCTATCTCTTAAAATATGTTTATGTGATTCCTCCCATGGTCTGGAGATAACTTTTCCACAATGCTATCTCTTAAAATATGTTTATGTGATTCCTCCCATGGTCTGAAGATAACTTTTCCACAATGCTATCTCTTAAAATATGTTTATGTGATTCCTCCCATGGTCTGAAGATAACTTTTCCACAATGCTATCTCTTAAAATATGTTTATGTGATTCCTCCCATGGTCTGAAGATAACTTTTCCACAATGCTATCTCTTAAAATATGTTTATGTGATTCCTCCCATGGTCTGGAGATAACTTTTCCACAATGCTATCTCTTAAAATATGTTTATGTGATTCCTCCCATGGTCTGAAGATAACTTTTCCACAATGCTATCTCTTAAAATATGTTTATGTGATTCCTCCCATGGTCTGAAGATAACTTTTCCACAATGCTATCTCTTAAAATATGTTTATGAGATTCCTCCCATGGTCTGAAGATAACTTTTCCACAATGCTATCTCTTAAAATATGTTTATGTGATTCCTCCCATGGTCTGGAGATAACTTTTCCACAATGCTATCTCTTAAAATATGTTTATGTGATTCCTCCCATGGTCTGGAGATAACTTTTCCACAATGCTATCTCTTAAAATATGTTTATGTGATTCCTCCCATGGTCTGAAGATAACTTTTCCACAATGCTATCTCTTAAAATATGTTTATGAGATTCCTCCCATGGTCTGGAGATAACTTTTCCACAATGCTATCTCTTAAAATATGTTTATGTGATTCCTCCCATGGTCTGAAGATAACTTGTCCACAATGCTATCTCTTAAAATATGTTTATGAGATTCCTCCCATGGTCTGGAGATAACTTTTCCACAATGCCATCTCTTAAAATATGTTTATGTGATTCCTCCCATGGTCTGAAGATAACTTTTCCACAATGCCATCTCTTAAAATATGTTACTGTGGGGCTAAAATCTTTTCCACTGTGTGATTCCTCCCATGGTCTGAAATCCATGAAAATGTTCTTTTCCATGACTCTCTACCTTTCCCTTTTTGTGTGTAGGCGTGCATGCGCATGTGTGTTTATGTGTATATGTAATAATGACTCAACTAATTTACTGTCTGTCTATGTGTTCAATGTTTCTATTACATTTGCTGCTAAATGAATTTAAGATGGATACTACAGAAATTGCTGTGTGAAAGATGAGTGGTCAGAAGGGATGAAAGTAAGACAGCCCCAAGTGACCAATTTGCGACCCTTTGACAATAAATTTCCTTTATTCATGTCTTAAATAACACCAAGGGCTGGTACCCAGCTGGACTCAATCAATAGCTGTGTTATGTGTGAGGACAAATAGATGGTGATCAGAAACACACTCTCTGTTACAGCAATATATTAAGTCAACATGTAAGTGGAATTAAATGTGCACTGTATGGGCTGTGTTCCTTTAAGAAGGTGACACAGAAGGGTAAAGATCCTTATCCATGTCACTGGCGCATCAAACCCAATCAACGGGTGATTAATTAACACCACAGTTGATACCTTTACTTCTGGTCAAAATGGATGAAAAGCACGGTCACTGTTTTAAGTCATGGCAAACTGTTTGATTGATTACAAAATCCCAGCCCCATGTGGATTGAAAGCTAAGATCTTTGAGCGGGTATAGAAGCAACAAGCCACTCTGTACCACAACTCTGACATAATGATAGTACTGGTTATTGTAGGCAGTCACAGTGTGGCAGCAACTAGTATGTCTGTTTTACAGCCCGATCAACAATCCCCATATTTTTTTTTTAATGATTTGGTCTCTTTGGCTGACCCACTCAATACATGGAAACCTTCAGGGAAGAAAATGCAGCTAATATAATTTGAGTTTACCACTTGTTGAGTGCTTATTATTCAATAAAAAGAAAACAAAAAATTAAGTTTTCCCTAATTTTTTTTTTTTTTAAACTGAAAAACTATAAAATGTTAATACTTGACCCTGACATTGAAAATGTAGCAATGACACACTGTGATATAAGCTGAGGGAGACTGAGTATCAAGGGGTGTAGCCATAGGTGGAGACACATAATTGAGGTGCGAGTGAGCAGAGGCTTTTGACAATTTTCTACCAAGGGGGAAGAACAAATAACTTGTAATTATGTTGCATCTGGCACCATCAGTGTGAGAACTCTTCGGTTTTGTTCAATGAGACAACTATATCAATGTAAATTTGTCCTTCAAGTCCTTCTTTTGCAGTTTGTCTGTCTACAGTACAAGCAGCAGGCTTTACACACACCACTTGCTGCATCATATTCCAGATATAAAGGCTACACAGTAACAACAAACACATGCACAGTGCATCAGAGCTCATATTCCACAATCTCATATGTAAAGGTCAAAATGGGATACGAAAAAAAGTTTGTATCTCGAAATGTGTGTATACAGTGCTGTTTATTAGGTTGAGGTGCCACTGTATGTTAATTCTTCATAAATCAAGCCTGTCAATGATAGTGAAAGTAAAGAACACAGAGTTAACTCATATACCACACTGAAAATATCATATATCACTCAAACATTCTACAGTGAAAATACCACACACCACACAAGAAGTTCATAGTGACAATACCACACACCACGCAATAAGTTCATAGTGGAAATACCACACACCACACAAGAAGTTCACAGTGAAAATACTATACATTACCATGTTTCAAGCAGAAGGCAATACAAAAGATGAACATGAGAAACAGTGTTGCAGAAATAATTCCTGTAACAACGGCCTCAGCCATGTTGCTACTGACTGCCTGGGTGGGACTTTCTGATGGCACCCCTGGAACACGGGTGATTCCTCCTGGTTGGATAATGCTTGGAGCACCTTCAGAGAAGAAATTATATCAACAATTATTTCTATAGATAAGGGAATTTGTGATGCAATAGGTTTCTGTTTGAGACACATAAAGATAGATACACAGAAATGAAGAACAGTAGGGAGAAAGAGAAAATACAAAAGGGAGGGAGAAGAGACAGACAGACAGATGTGAAGAAAAGGAGAACAAAGACATAATTTTTTTTTTTTAAGCGGGCGGGAGAGAGACAGAGAAACTGTTAATTTCTGTTAGAAATTCCTACATCACATTCTTCCTCTCCATCATTCACCTTGAGGACATACTGGCTGAAATTAAACCAAACAAAAATAAACGGACTGAGATGTGACAAGCAGGATGATGATAATTTTCACAGCAATTTCTGTGTTCAATGATGATAATTTAGATGAAGATTTCACCCTCAGATTTTTAGAATACATGAAAATATGCTTTATATATATATATATATATATATATATATATATATATATATATATATATATATATATAATTCAAATGCAGTGTGAACGTGTGTGTGTGTGTAAGGGTCAAATGAAAGAAGGGTCTGCATGCCCAATTTGTGACCCTGTCGAAATAATGTTTGCTCATTCCATTGTATCAATTCTAAATCCTGTAAAATGGCTTCTGCATATTTTTTTTTTTTTTCCAAAGTGTTATTAAGTTTTAAACTAGTTAACTTTGAATTGAAAGTTACCAGGTTCTGATGCAACATCCTATTTAGTTATGGGCTAACATCCTATTCAACTATAGGCTAACATTCTATTCAACTATAGGCTAACATTCTATTCAGTGATGGGCTAATATCCTATTTAGTTATGGGCTAAAGTCCTATTCAGTTATGGCCTAAAATCCTATTCAGTTATGGCCTAAAATCCTATTCAGTTATGGGCTAAAATCCTATTCAGCTATGGGCTAACGTCCTATTTAGTAAGGGGTTACCATCCTATTCAGTTATGGGTTAAAATCCTATTCAGTTATGGGCTAACATCCTATTCAGTTATGGGCTAACATCCTATTCAGCTATGGGCTAACATCCTATCCAGTTATGGGCTAACATCCTATTCAGTTATGGGCTAACTTCCTATTCAGTTATGGGCTAAAATCCTATTCAGTTATGGGTTAACATCCTATTCAGTTATGTGTTAACATCCTATTCAGCTATGGGCTAACATTATATTCAGTTATGGGCTAAAATCCTATCCAGTTATGGGCTAACATCCTATTCAGTTATGGGCTAACATCCTATTTAGAAATGGGCTAACATCCTATTCAGTTATGGGCTAAAATCCTATTCAGCTATGGGCTAAAATCCTATTCAGCTATGGGCTAAAATCCTATTCAGTTATGGGTTAACAATAAACATCCTATTCAGTTATGGGCTAACATCCTATTCAGTTATGGGCTAACATCCTATTCAGTTATGGGTTAACATCCTATTCAGTTATGGGTTAACATCCTATTCAGTTATGGGCTAAAATCCTATTCAGTTATGGGCTAACTTCCTATTCAGTTATGGGCTAACATCCTATTCAGCTATGGACTAACATCCTATTCAGTTATGGGCTAACATCCTATTCAGTTATGGGTTAACATCCTATTCAGTTATGGGCTAAAATCCTATTCAGCTATTGGCTAACATCCTATTCAGTTATGGGTTAACATCCTATTCAGTTATGGACTAACATCCTATTCAGTTATGGGTTAACATCCTATTCAGTTATGGGCTAACATCCTATTCAGTTATGGGCTAAAATCCTATTCAGTTATGGGTTAACATCCTATTCAGCTATGGGCTAACATCCTATTCAGTTATGGGCTAACATCCTATTCAGTTATGGGCTAACATCCTATTCAGTTATGGGTTAACATCCTATTCAGTTATGGGCTAAAATCCTATTCAGCTATTGGCTAACATCCTATTCAGTTATGGGTTAACATCCTATTCAGTTATGGACTAACATCCTATTCAGTTATGGGCTAACATCCTATTCAGCTATTGGCTAACATCCTATTCAGTTATGGGTTAACATCCTATTCAGCTATGGGCTAACATCCTATTCAGTTATGGGCTAAAATCCTATTCAGCTATTGGCTAACATCCTATTCAGTTATGGGTTAACATCCTATTCAGCTATAGGCTAACATCCTATTCAGTTATGGGCTAACATCCTATTCAGTTATGGGTTAACATCCTATTCAGTTATGGGCTAAAATCCTATTCAGCTATTGGCTAACATCCTATTCAGTTATGGGTTAACATCCTATTCAGTTATGGACTAACATCCTATTCAGTTATGGGTTAACATCCTATTCAGTTATGGGCTAACATCCTATTCAGTTATGGGCTAACATCCTATTTAGTTATGGGCTAACATCCTATTCAGTAATTGGCTAACATCCTATTCAGTAATTGGCTAACATCCTATTCAGTTATGGGTTAACATCCTATTCAGTTATGGGTTAACATCCTATTCAGTTATGGGCTAACATCCTATTCAGTTATGGGCTAACATCCTATTCAGTTATGGGTTAACATCCTATTCAGCTATGGGCTAACATACTCTTTGGTAATGGGTTAACATTATATTCAGTTATGGGCTAAAATCCTATTCAGTTATGTGCTAACATCCTATTCAGTTATGGGCTAACATCCTATTTAGAAATGGGCTAACATCCTATTCAGTTATGGGCTAAAATCCTATTCAGCTATGGGCTAAAATCCTATTCAGTTATGGGCTAAAATCCTTTTCAGCTATGGGCTAACATCCTATTCAGTTATGGGTTACCATCCTATTCAGTTATGGGTTAACATCCTATTCAGTTATGGGTTAACATCCTATTCAGTTATGGGCTAACATCCTATTCAGTTATGGGCTAACATCCTATTTAGTAATGGTTAACATCCTATTCAGTTATGCTCTAACATCCTATTTAGTAATGGGTTAACATCCTGTTTAGTTATGGGCTAACATCCTATTCACTTAAACTATTCACAAAAAATGTGGACCCAGGAGTATATTTCCAAAATATTTCGAAGTTTATCAGTGGTCCTCTTCGCTCCTTCTCCCCATGTTGACTCCCCAATAATCAACAAGAAACATATACACAAAAATCAACATACAACTTACCAGTTACATTCAGGCACAGATTTACATACACACTTCCACAGGAAGACACACATCGCTTATGTGTTAACACAATAGCCCAGCAGCGACATCTCCCTTCCACCAGCCAATTTCCATCTTCCTCCCTTACTCGAACCTACAATATATAGAATCAAAATTATCTCACTGTGTGTTCTAGGACCCCTCTATTGGGAAGGGGGGGGGGGGGTGGACCCACTCTGCTTTACCAGGCATGTCATAAAAGGCAATTAATTAAGGGTTTTGTTGAACTCAGATGTGTAGGGCCAAAACGTGCACATTTTGCAGCCTATCTGTAAACTGCAATACAATTTTTAGAAGAGCTGGCTCAAGTAACAAAATCCGACCCAGAAAGAGAGTGACTTCCCTTGCCATTCATGGCTGGTCATTTTGTGGGGGTGCTTCAAGAAAAATAGTCCAGAAGTGGACAAAAACTACCAGAACTTTCCGCTGAAGTTTACATTCGGTGAAGGCTAAGCAGATCTTAGGTAATGTGAGGAAAATGTCTGTCGGAAGCAAACAATATAAATCCTTACTAGCATATTTTAACTTTTTGAGTCTCAAGTAACATATGGTGTGTGATGGCACAGTCACATGCATCCTTACAATTACATAATCTGTTTATTTACATCTGGCTACAACCTACCGCCTGGCCATTCCACTGTACTTTTACCTCTCTCAAAGTAAGGCACTCATTGTTTTTTAAAGATTATTTTACTTCCCTTATTCAGCATCTTTTCAGAAATCTTCTGGTACTGAAAGAGTTAAGGCGACTACACTAGCCCTACCATCCTGAATCCTTAAGCTCAACACACATCCCTTATCATCAAGTGTTGGCAATCATGCCTCTCCACAGTCTGCCATCTGCAACTGCGTGTATCAGTTCATGTGCTGACACCCTCCATGCCATGACAAAATTCTTATCAAGAATCTTCTCATGCTGTTTGTCTCCACAGATCTTTCCAGGGGTCACAACATGTTCCAATTTCCCTCTTATCATAACATGACCCCAAAAAATATCTCCTCCTGATTTTTGTGATAAACTGTCTTTGAGCACTCACCCCTTTCAAAACTCTTCTTTTTAGCTGTCCAAGGATTCTTCGGTAAAAATATCTCTCTTATACTTCCAGATGTTTTTTGGCTTGCTTATTTATTGTCCAGGCTTCACATTCGTATGTTAAAATGGGATCTATATAGGCAAACAAGAATTCTTTTTTTTTTTACTAACCTCCAATGACAAGGACCCTAAGATGGCGGCGTGATCGGTCATGTTATTTCAGTGATGTGTTTAATGTGATTTCTTTTTGGATTAAACTGTGTTCTTTCTACAATGATACTATGACAGGTCCAGCAAACCGGTAGGGTAGTGAAAGTTCACATAAACATGCTATTAAGTACCGCAGATACGATCAGGAGTATGAAAAAGTCCATCAAAGATCGGAGGACGAAGGGCTTGACAACCAGCCCGCCATTAAACACAGTAAACATAAAGAGGTCACGCAGGAATATGAAAACAGCCACGTTAAATGTTAGCGGACTAGGGGATAAGGAGACGGAGTTGGTAGAATTTATGCAGAAATACAAAATAGAAATACTGGGAATTTCATACTTGAGAAGAAAAGGACACAGTACAAAATTAATACATGAAAATTACGTATTAATATACAGCGGAGTAGACAAGAATAAAAAGGCGACTCACGGCGTCGGAGTTATAATTCACCCAGAAAAAGCTAAATACATAAATGAAACAGAATACATATCAGAAAGACTAATACGCATACAAGTTGTCGAAAACGGCCTACCTACAATGCTTACGTAAGACTGCCAATGTCACAAGGAGAGACAGAGCTTGAAACGAGAACATTAGATCAATTGTAGGAACCACACCATGCCTGCAATACATAAAGAAGCAACAAATAGAGTGGTTTTGCCACTTGATGCGAATGCAAACCGACCAACTGCCTCTACGAACATACAACGAACAGCACTACTGCCCTAGAGCAAGAGGCAGACAGAGTACGATGGATAGACAATATATCAGAGATCCTGAGGCAACACGGACTAACAACAACACGTGCAACACACCTGGCCCAGGATAGAAAACTGCGACTCCCCACTACGCTGTGAGGCAATTGTGGACAAGACAAGACAAGACAATGACAAGGATTTATTGTATAAAATGTTTTCTCTCACTTTTGTAAAATGCAGTTTTGGCCAGTCCTATTCTATTCTTTATCTCTGTCAACATCGCCTCTACACTGCTCCAACATATGGTTGTGTAACACTGGGCGGAAAAGGGGGTGGGGGAGTGTCACGAGCATAATGATACAGGGCTACATGGCAAGTGCAATTACAACGACTGTGCAGGTTAGGATTTAAAATGTTACCCTCGGCAGATTATACTGTCCATCACCTTATGGAGGATCTGAACACAGGATATCCACTTGAGAGACCAGCATTCTAACTGCTTGGCCAGCCATTGCTCAATGTGGTTAATACATGCAGCAAATACTCTCATTTCAGATTTGTTAACTGTTCATTAACGTATGTTCACATATGTTATTTCAAGAAGCACAGAGGGGGTTAGAGAAGATTATATGATATTTTTAAAGATATAAAGGAACGCAGACTAAGTCATAATATGAAAACAATTGAAGGATCTCTTCAAACACTATCAAGTACATTATGTATATGATTATAACCTCTGATTTTCAGATAATTTCAGTCAGAATTATACCAGGTGCCTTTACTTCCCAATAAATTTCTCTTGTTGCTATTTATTCCTAAACAGAGAATGGGCCTTTAATTCACGCCAAAGCTTCCTATCAACTTCTGAAGCTCACCACATGTCCATATAATATCCATCATCTCTCACACCATCTCTTAACATTCCAATTACAGTGAGTCCAAAGTGACAAAAACAATATTTCAGCAGAGCAGACACAAGAGTTCAGCAGTACCGACACAAGAGTTCAACATTATAGTCACAAGACTTCAACATTACAAGATACAGTACTTCAGCATCATAGACACAATACTTCAACAATACAGGCACAAGAGTTTAACATTACAGTCACAAGACTTCAACATTATAGTCACAAGACTTCAACATTACAAGATACAGTACTTCAGCATCATAGACACAATACTTCAACAATACAGGCACAAGAGTTTAACATTACAGGCATAAGAATTCAATGTCACAGGCACAAGAGTTTAGCATCACATGCATAAGAGTTCAACATCACAGGCACAAGAGTTAAACATTATAGTCACAAGTTCAACACTATAGTCACAAAAGTTCAACATTACAGTCATCAACATTACACCCATGGGTTCAAAATTACAGACACAGATGTTCAACATCACAGACACACGAGTTCAACATCACAGACACATGAGTCCAACATTAGAGTCACAAGTTCAACATTACAGACACAAAGAGTTCAACATTAGAGTCACAAGTTCAACATTACAGACATTAGAGTTCAACATCTCAGGCAACAAATTTCAACATCACAGACACAAGAGTTCAACATTAGAGTCATAAGAGTTCAACATCACAGACACAAGAGTTTAAGGTCACAGACACAAGAGTTCAACATCACAGACACAAGAGTCCAACATCACAGATACAAGAGTTCAACATCACAGACACAAGAGTCCAACATCACAGATACAAGAGTCCAACATCACAGACACAAGAGTCCAACATCACAGACACAAGAGTCCAACATCACAGACACAAGAGTCCAACATCACAGACACAAGAGTCCAACATCACAGACACAAGAGTCCAACATCACAGACACAAGAGTTTGACACTAACAGACACAAGAATTCAACATTACAGACACAAGAGTTCAACATTAGAGTCACAAGAATTCAACATCATAGACACAGGTGTTTAACATTAGAATTCCACATCACAGACAAAAGTTTGACACTAACAGATATGAGGGTTCAACATCACAGACATTAGAGTTTAAGATCACAGACACAAGAGTTAAACATCACAGACACAAGAGTTCAACATCACAGACACAAGAGTTCAACATTACAGACACAAGAGTTCAACATTACAGACACAAGAGTTTAACATTAGAGTCACTAGAATTCAACATCATAGACAGTTGTTTAACATTAGAATTCCACATCACAGACAAAAGTTTGACATTAACAGATACGAGGGTTCAATATCACAGACATTAGAGTTTAAGATCACAGACACAAGAGTTCAACATCACAGACACAAGAGATCAACATCACAGACACAAGAGTTCAACATCACAGACACAAGAGTTCAACATCACAGACACAAGAGTTTAAAATTACAGACACAAGAGTTCAACATCACAGACACAGAGTTCAACATCACAGACACAAGAGTTCAACATCACAGACACAAGAGTTCAACATTACAGACACAAGAGTTCAACATCACAGACACAAGAGTTCAACATCACAGACACAAGAGTTCAACATCACAGACACAAGAGTTTAACATCACAGACACAAGAGTCCAACATCACAGACACAAGAGTTCAACATCACAGACACAAGAGTTCAACATCACAGACACAAGAGTTCAACATCACAGACACAAGAGTTCAACATCCCAGATACAGAGTTCAACATCACAGACACAAGGTGTCACAGACACAAGAGTTCAACATCACAGACACAAGAGTTTAACATTACAGACACAAGGTGTCACAGACACAAGAGTTCAACACCACAGATACAAGCATTCTGTGACAGAAAAGATGACCAAATCAAGTAGATGCTTCAAGACCAAATCGATATGTTTAGAACCTCTGGTTTACGGTTATAAGACTTACTATTACACGGTAGCACCCTGACTTTCTCATTTGGAAAACTTGTCTTCCATGGGTGTTTTCTGGTGAAAGTAGCTGTAAAAAAGGAATAAATTTACAATTGTATTTACATATGGAATAACCTATTCAAACCTCGCTATCTCTCTGCCTCCTTAATCAATTCCTGAATTCCTACATTGAAACAAGCAAGTTTTTGACACAGTGTAACTTCAATATTTGTGGCTCTGTGGTAAAGCTGTTTGCATCATGTTCTGTCAGCCCTGGGTTTATTTTCAGGACAGCAACATTTAGTTCACAAAAGCAAGTTTCAGGAGGCATCACTAACGCTATGAAATGTGTACTTTGCAAAAATGCTCACTGCAAGTTGCTACCTGCTCTACCGACAAAAACTTAGTCGTTTGGGATAAGACCCAGCATAATGAAGACAATTTTAATCATTTGTTTTTTTCTAAACATTACATTTGGCATTTCTGTCAATATCATACTAGTGAAAAAAGGTAATTAATTACAAGTGGCTAATTAAGGTACAACTGGCTATGGTATAACTAGCTAACTTAGGTACAAGTGGTGAGCTAAGGTACAAGTGGTGAACTAATGTACAAGTGGTTAATTAAGGTACAAATGGCTATGGTACAACTAGCTAAGGTACAAGTGGCAAACTAAGGTACAAGTGATTAACTAAGGTACAAGCATCCAACGAAGGTAAAAGTGGTTAATAAAGGCACCAGTGGCTATGGTACAACTAGCTTACTAAGAGACGGGTGGCTAACTAAGGTGCAAGCGTATAAGTGGCTAAATAAGGTACTACAACTGGCTAAATAAGGTACAAGCGGCTAACTAAGGTACAAGTGGCTAACTAAGGTACAAGTGGCTAACTAAGGTACAATTGGCTAATTAAGGTACAACTGGCTAATTAAGGTACAAGCGGCTAACTAAGATACAACTGGCTAACTATGGAGGTTAAGAATGGTCCTGATAAATAATTCATTTTATTCAGGAAATCTTCAGTAAAGTTGATCTGTCCATGGTTATCTTGCTATTGCTGCTGGCACCTTTCCATTATTCTAGATGATATTATCCTGATATACTGTGCTGCAGGCAAGCATGAGAATCAAAGCCCATGGCAATGGCCTCAATGACTAGAAAGATCTGCTTCTATTAACCCTCTAGACTTGTAAATGCCCATATCTAGGCTATTAGTTTCTTTTTTTTTTTTTTTTATGTTATCACAATCAGCGTCACTACACCTTGGGCCTTTCCCTTCCCAGTCTCTGATGCAGCAACCACTCCAAGGTACTTCTACTAACTGTTCCCATAAGAATCTGGTTATAATGTCTCCTATCTCGGCCTTGAAGATGGCATAGACATGCTTGACTCCCATGTCCCGCAACTGTGAGATCCGTCATTATCCACTAGCCCAGTCCGTACAGTGTTAATGAGATCTGCTCTATCCATGCTTCTGCCCACATACATTGATGCACTGCCTGCCAGGTGGTCCGCTCACTCATTATCCTTTACGCCAGCATAACCAGGTGTGCAGATCCAGCTAAGGGAAGGTAAAGTGCGATTTCTCAATGCTTTCCATTCAGAGTGCATACTGCCTTTTGCTATCTTCTGAAGCATGTTCGTGGAGTCTCATACAATTACTGCCTATGTGTCTGTTTGGTCAAATACCCATGCTAGCATTCGAGAAGCAGTGGCTATCTCCATGGTCACGCTTGATGTGGTTTCCTGGTAAGCGCCGCTGTCTTCTTGTATTGTTTTCCCCATTCTTTGTGCTGTGTATGCCCATGCTGACCTTGTTCCACAATGGCATATCGTCTTTGGGCCGGTATGTTAGCTTTCAAACTAGCTGCAACAGCACAGTGTGTAGATATGGTGGGTAAGATTATAATTACACCAAAAGAAAAGACCATTACATAATCTAGGGATGGGAAATCAAATCTTTTTTGGGATCACTTATCTTTGCCTAATAAAAAACATGATCACACAGTGAGATGTGGCTAATTAACAAAACCATATACTTCTTGGTAAAGGATGATTTTTTTTTTATCCCCTACTAGAACATAATTTTTTGGGTTTGAAAATTACAAATTATATATACGTGTTGCCTCAGTGACCTGGGGGCCATGATGACGGAACTGATAGCGGGCTGGCCCTTCTGCTCGGTGGTCACAGGTTTCAACTCCCTGGATTTTTATAAAAACTTATCGAGACTCAAAATTTCATCTGCTTCTTCCACTAGTTTCTTAGAAAAGAGTTTCCGAAAATTATAAGGATGCGTTTTTTAGAAGGACATTTTGAAAAAGATCAAGTTTTAAGGTCCTTACGGGTCGAAGGGTTTATGAAAAGTCTAGCAGAATCAGACCATGCCATTTCAGGACCACTGTTGCCATTGTATGTTTTTAACTGGTCTTTTATAAAACACTAAACTTTTAAGTAAAGGACCCTTTTCCAAGTCTTAAGGCATATTGGGCATACAGGTCTAGACCTATATGTTATAGACTAATCGGCTATAGGAGGGTGATGTGGTAAAAACCATGCCGGCCATCTTTACTTCCCATGACTTTATCTAGTACCTATTTAAGGTTGGGTCGACCTTGGAGCTAAGGTCATTTCTGGAGAAAAGTCAGCACCTAAATCCACAACCTTCAGATCGGCAGGTGAGCATCTATCCACTACACCACACTAAGCCTTAAACCTATCTGCAATAATATTCTCCTGTATCCCTATTCTCTCCCTGATTTTCCTCCTCCAAGCAGGAAAGGTCCATGACCCTTGTTCCCTTGAATCCACATCAATACCTGTATCTTTCTCATAAGTGTCTATAAAATCACATCTTTGCAGCTTCTACATAATATTGTCCAGCCAATTATCCATGAATCACTTCTGTACATCAGAAAATGATGATGATAGCAATGTGTGGGTTCAGAGGCTTCACTTTAGGGGAAAAAAAAGAATAGACTTACTGCCCCCCCCCCCCCTCCCACCCCTTCTCCCCCCTCTAATAAGCATATTGTAAAAGGCGACTGAGTAGGGGTTTTCCTTTCAACAGTCTGCATACAAATAATCCAAATGTGTAAAATGATGTGCAAGCAAAACTCAGCAAAGGGTGATATTTTTTTTTAAAAGCAGACAACACACTAACAAATGGGTTACCAAAACAGAAAGCTATCACTAGAATACCAACCCCAGGCCTGTAGTCAACTCTGTGAACTGGGTTAGCAAAATCGCCTAGCTCAAAGACCATCACTTGAAATCTTGTGAGATGGTATTTTGCAGGTGGTAGTGTGAACTTGATTATAACAGTGCCATTATCAAAGACACTGGCTGTAATGTATGGAATCCACTTTCCTGGGTCCACCTCTTCAGAGTCAAGTGCTAAAAAGAGAGAAAATATCATATATCTTTTTGCTTGTTTGAAACACTCTCCCTCTCACTGTCCTCCTCCAACCTGCAACTCTCACTGTTTCTCTGCCCTCTCTATCTGCTATCCCCTCAATCCTTCTCCCTCCCTCTTTTGTTCCTCTTCACTGCACCCCTTTCTCTCTCTCACGAACACACCCAACCTTCCCCCTTCAGATTTCCTCTTCCTCTTCATTTCAATCCTTCTCTCTTTACTTCTTAATCATACTCAGTCTCTCCCTTTCATTATTCATCCCTTATTTCAGTATTATCATTTCCCTAAGTTTGCTTCCATTTCTCTCCCCCTCCTTTTTCTGGTCCATGATAAGAATCTTCCCTTAGCTGTCGTATATTTACTTTTTTTCTTTGAAAAATCATATAAAAATCCCAACGAAACATTTTAAGCTTGAGCTGATTATGTAAGCAAAAAGTTAATGTACACAGTCTTCCTAGTAACAAAGTGTTGGACTAACAAATAGTTTTAACATCTCACAAAAAATATTACCTCATCAGAATTTAGCAACAGCTTTACAATACAAGCTTGGAATCATATGCACTTAAAAAGTAATAAAATCTTCCAATACAGATGGACAGGCTAACTATGACTGTACAAGAATAGTTCCATAACTGGAGATTTTCAGACCGGCAGGCAACTCAGGAATCCCTTCTTTAAACAAGATAGCCTGTCCCTGCGATCTAAGTTAGTGCAAGCTGAAGTGTGATAATGGGCATAGGTAGACCAGAATGGTAGATGGTTAGCCAAGGGTTGTGGTGTTATTAAACATGTAGTGTAGAGAAATACTGAATGTTGATGTGGATGAAAGATATACAGGGAGGCACAGATCGCCAAATGTACCTGAGGAATGAGCTAAAAGACTCCCAAGTCCAGAAACGGTAGAGAGAAAGGACAAATGACAGACAAGATAGAAAGGCATAAAAGAACACATGACACATTATATCTCTAAACTTTACCAGAAGCCTTCAGGGAGACATCTGATAGTCAAGCCTACTTTCTGTTCTGATTCGACAAAACAGTTCTCCCGCCTATTCCAGTTCCTTTAGAAGCACACAGCTAACTGACAGTTGTGGCCACCCCATTTAATCACATCCAAAATAGCGTATCATATGAAAGTCAGTCTCCAGGTTATGTCTTTTAACTTTTATCATGTGCAATTTGTTGGTATAATCATGGTCATTTTTTTTGCTGCTTTATAAATAAAGTCCAATCCTTCCATGGTTACCAGCACGTGAAGTAAAACTGAAAAGTTAAGGCACCAATTGGGTGTTTCTCTAAACAAGCTTTTCTTTTCCTTAGGATACTGAGTCAGCTTAATCTATTTCAAGAGTCTCTTAGGCTATACCTGTTTTTCCTGAGACTCTATCTACAATTATTAGCAAGAGGCAGCTATCTCAGTTTGTATGGGTTTTAAACCAACATCCACCAGTTATAAGAAATGTCAGCGCCCGACTCGCTAGCTCAGTTGGTTAAACGTGACTGCACACGGCCGGGTGACGAACTCCCTGCAGTTCGGGTTTACACCCGGGGTTAGGCAGAAAAGCCACATTTCTCTCAGATGTACTGTATCTATCGTGGAATCAAGACCGAAGGGTTGCGATATCCATAGTACCGAGCCATAGGGTTAACAACTCATGGTTTCTGGACATTAAAAAAAAAAAAAAAGAGAGAAATGTCCCACAACAGTAATATTCAAGATCATTCGATGCTGATGGCTGTTGTGAGGCTCTTATTGACACTCTCGGTGAATACAATGATGATTATGTTGGTGGTAATGCTGACAATAATAAGTATAAGTAATATTATTATGATGACACAATGGTGATTACAAAAATGATGATGATGGTGGGAGACTGGATAATGATGATCTTGATAATAATGACGGTGGTGATGATAATGGTGATGATGACCATGATGATTAAAGCTGGTGGTAGCCATCTTGGTATTGATAAGTGCAGGGGTTGTGATAAGAAATGGTCATAAAAATGATGACCATGATGATTAAAGCTGGTGGTAGCCATCTTGGTATTGATAAGTGCTGGGGTTGTGATAAGAAATTATCATAAAAATGATGACCATGATGATTAAAGCTGGTGGTAGCCATCTTGGTATTGATAAGTGCTGGGGTTGTGATAAGAAATGGTCATAAAAATGGTGACCATGATGATTAAAGCTGGTGGTAGCCATCTTGGTATTGATAAGTGCAGGGGTTGTGATAAGAAATGGTCATAAAAATGATGACCATGATGGCAGTGTTGATGGTTAATGTGGTTCAGTTGAGTTAAGAAATGATTTCACAGCACTTGGGGCATTCCCATGCATGCTCCGTCCTCATCTTCTGCAGCCAGCGCAGAGTTCCAGTACTGATGGTACCGGTCACAATCTGGTTAAATGTCCGTCTTGCCTTTTCTCTGAGTGTAGTGAGCCAGCCATACCCTCTGGTTACATCCAGGTGCCTCATTCTCTCCAGGTTGTAATAATCTTCTTTCTCTACTGATCCCGTTGCTTGTTCCCAAAGGGCCTTGACCACATCTGCCTTGTCATGTATTAATTCACCACCCAGTGGTGCGTATCCAGCCAATCAGTCTGCCTGTTTATTGCCCACCCCATCGGCAGGGCCAGAAGAAAAGATCCAAAGTATGCTCACTGCCCGTGACCTTTCCAGTGAAGCTTGCCACTCTGCTCGAAGCATCCCTGTCTTCACCTTTTCCAGCATGCTTTCAGAGTCTGTTACAAATACATATGTATGCATCTTGTTCTCTAGCCACCGGAGAGCTGCAGTTACCCCTTCCACCTCCATTTTCGTGCTAGATGTTGAGGTGTCCATAAGCTAGGCTGTCTTGCACTAAAGATTTTCCACTGGCTTTTGCTACGAGCTCACAGGCACTTCTTTCTCTCAACAATGAACCATCTGTATAGATAATCAGATCACCTGGGTGGTTGTGGTGCATCTGTAATGACAATTACGATGGTGGTCAGGATAAAGGTAATGTCTAAGTACAGATGATGGTGATGCTGACAATGATGATTACAAAGATGAAAATGATCCTGGGTGTCGGAACAGTAATGATGGCGAGGACAACAACAACAAAAAGTATATCTGTTATATCCATCACTCACAATAGATAGCTGGTGTCACAATGGAACTAACAGCAAATCCATTAGAAACCATGACAGGATGTGTTGGCATACTGTGTACCTCTACCGTAAAGAGGGACCGCTCCTGCACTTGGAGTTGGTACTCAAATGTCAACTGCAGACAGTCATAGTACAAATGAAAGGAATCATCAAGTCACAGAATAGGTCAGATTTCAGGACAACAAACTCAAATACAGTTATTCTGAACTGGAAATCAAAACAGTTACTGAAATAAATAAAAATCATTCTATCTCTTGCTACTGCATGCAACTCAGATCATCCCCCTCCCCCTTTTTTTTTAAACTTCACTCTCTAAGTTTCCTTCATATTTTTAGGGAGGGGGGGGGGAGTCTGCATTTATTTCTCTGCCCCTGCGGATTCCAGTACAAAGATATTCTAGTTACACAGTTCTCATGTTTTCTCAACGTGTGTCTTATCCAATGCCAGCGTCTTTTTTTATCTCTTGGTCCACTGGAACTTGTTTAGTTCTCTCTCAAAGATCTACATCAGTGATTCTATCGTACTGATTTGACATTAGAATTAAAATGTAAAGTTTAGTAGTGGTTTAAATTTCGTCTGACCTCCACACATTTCCTAGTGTTATGAAAGCAGCTTTAGCCTTTTGTATTCATATTTTAATATCTCTATCAGTTTCTCCATCTTTACATTACCGTCCAAATAGTCGTATGACTCTATATCATGAAGCGGTATAGCATTAAGAGAAACTAGTGTGCTATTTGCCTGGTTTATTCTCATTCTCTTTCCCTTATGGATTTTTAGACCTAGTTGTGATCTTGCATCAAGTATATGTATTAATTTATTTGCATCTGAATCCGTGAGTAGAATAAGAGAGAAATATCTGTTAAGTCCAAGTCACCAAGCTGTTTTGTAGGGGTCCACTGAATTTGCAGTGTTAGCAGTAGCCGTCTTGATAATCCAGTCTATTGCCCCCCAAAAAAAAAAAAAAAAATCACAGAGGTGATAAAAGACATCCCTCTTGCACATTTGTTAAGAGACACAGAGCTGCACACTTGAAGTATTATTGAATATTAACATGTACTGCTTTAGACTATTTATAAACACCTGTCCGTTTAAATGTAACTGCCCAAGAACCATTTGACCAAAATTGCATAGTTACAGGTAACTGCAAAGTCTTTGTGAAGAATGTTTTAAGGGACATTTAGCAATTGGCTTGCTTTTTAGATGAGGGTGAGGATTGGGAGATAATATTCAGACAGACCTACAAACACTTGCCTGGAGATAGAAAGCTAACCAGAGAGATGAATAGAGGTAAGTGATATCTGCAGCAAATTAACATCTAAGGCGCGGACTGCTGAAGAAGAAAACTGCAATAATGATATTCATAATCTGTTTAAATCACCGATAATTTCTGCCAACATAAAGGCTAAAAGACTGCAATGGTTGGAGCATATATATAGAGAGAGAGGGTGGTAGTTAGATAATACAGTATGGGAGTAGACCACAAGGCAGACCAAGGAGATAGTGGAAAGAGATACCAACAGATCTACAAACACTTGGAGTCACCAACAGGAAAGAAAAGAAAGGCAAATCACAGAGATGAATAGAAGCTTCTGATATTTGCAGCAGTGAGCCTCAAGGGATCAGAGTGCTCAAGTCAGACACACTTATACACGCTTGGAGTCACCAAATGGAGAGAGAAGGCCTATCCGAGAGATTAATGAAGGCAGGTGATATCTGCAGTTAGTTGTGAACCCCAAGGGCTCAGGCTAAAGATGATGATTGCAAAACAATAACTGATGTCACCTGTCGAGTGCTGATCAGTATACACAAACTGATTATAGCATCATGTGTTTGATAAGTCGCTGGTGTGGAAAGAGTCCTTTATTTGACTCTGTAGTAAGAAACAGAAGCAGCAGTAGCGTAGCTGCTTGCCTGATGGTCTTGTGGTCACAGGTTCTAATCCTCACTGAGGCATATTTTTGTGTGTTTATTTCTTCTTCTTTAATGTGATCACCAGCTGTACACTCATGGCAGACAGTTTTGGTTGTTCATCCACTTCTGGACTGTAGTACTGTTCCAGAATTTGATTTCTGCTTGCACATTTTGTTTTACAGATCTGGCTTATTTGTATATAGATTATTGGTTCCTGGCCTATGTCCATTATGCCTAAAGGTGTAAAACCGAGTAATGCAAACAGAAGACATTTTACTGTTTAAAAAAATGCACTGTTGAACTTTCTCACCGATTTTTTTAAATATTCATTGGACGTGTTGAAAAGCAAAAGATTGCACAAAAGAATGTTGGATAATCTGGAATGCCACACAATCAAAAATCCTAGCAAATTTTCTCTGGCAGTCACTGAAATGAAAAATAAAATCCTACAATTTTCCTCATAAACTTAATTATTCAACTGTATCATAAGTACTTTTCCAAGTTAAAATAGAATTAATGTTCACCCTTAGCTGCATATGTAATAATGCCATTTTCCCTAGCTAAAGAAAATGGTGACATTATAATTTTGCCAGACCATAGATGAATGGCGCCTGTTTGGATGACACGCTCTGCTTCATGGACGGTGTTTTAGTTTTGATCATAATAAAATCAGTTTGTTTACTTGTTAGAATGTGTAGGTGCCATTTCTCTTCAGGTTGTATGATTCATCATACCATGTCCCAATACACTGTTCTATTTTAATAACTTTGTCAAAAATTATCCTATTATAAATTTGGTACAAATGATGACGATTTGGGAACTTGCTTTGGGGAAAGTACTTGCCTCCAGGATGACAGTTCTTTCCCCTCCCATTCATGCCAGAGCTGGTCGCACAGCTAGTCCTATGTTGTGGGGGTGTTATGAGATCTATATAATGTTTGTGGAAGGTTATGTTGTTGTTGAGTCCCTATAAGGCGCCACAGGCACCTATGTACAAGTAAGAAGTACTGCAAGGGGAAACTCAGAAGGTGTGACTGTCTACGAAACAGTAAAGTTTCTTAATTTCAACATTCCTTGGCGTACCCCCCCCCCCCCCCCCCCCCCCCCCCCCCCCCCCCCCCCTTTCCTGAGAAGCCACTGACAAGGAACGGAGAAATACAAAAACATCCCAGTTTTGATACTCAAGAATTGCCAGGCAAGGAGCACAACATGGAAATAATCAAGCAAGTAAGCGGGGACAGCAAGAGAAAAGACAGCGGTTAAACTGTTGAAAACAAGGAATACATGTCACCTCTCAACATAGGACAGGTCGTGGGAGCAGCCGCGGCAGGAACTCTGGCAGTGCTGGCAAGTTCACAATAAGTACCATGAAATGTTAACCTACATTGTGCACAAAATATCCAGCACAAACTTCAACACATGCTTTTAGCCGGATAAATTAACCATTATTTTCACTGCTGCATTTATGATGCTTTAGTCTAGCTCAGTCCGTTTTCAGCCACTGCCTTTCCAGCAACTAACTGTACTGATTTCATAGATCTTTTGCAGAAGGTGTGAGAGTGTGCCTTAACTCTATACTTTGTTTTGAAATCACTTAAAAATGAGATTTGTACCCAAAATTTTGCTTTTTAAAGACATATAAAGAGAATATTATCCCAATAAGTTATCACAACTGACATCACTGCACACTGGAAATTCCCATATGTGCTCAGTCCTCCAATGCAGCAGCATTCCAAGGCACCTCTTTTCATTTTTCCCATGACAGGCTGGTTTTAATGTCTCCTATCTTGGTCTCGAAGGCGGCATAGATGTGCTTTACCATGATTTAATCTCATGGCATGCAATCATGTTAGTGTCAGAGATCTGTCATTATCCACTAGCCCAGTCCGTAGAGCACTGATGATATCTGCTCTGTCCATGCTTCTTTTTACATGTGCTGGTGCATTGCTTGCCAGTTGGTCCACTCATTATCCTTTACGCCCGCATGACCAGGTGCGTGGATCCATCTGAGGGAGGTTAAGAGTGATTTTTTAATGCTTTCTACCCATTCAGAGTGTATGACTGTTGCTATCTTCTAAAGCATGTTCATGGAGTCTAATATAATTACTGCATGTGTGGCTATTTGGTCTGCTGCCCATGCTAGTGCTCTAGAAGCAGCAGCTATTTCCATGGTTATGCTTGATGTAGTTGCCTGGTAAACGCCACAGACCTTTTTTTTTTTTTGATTGCACTATCCTCTGGGCTGTATATGCCCTTGCTAATCTTGATCCGCGCTTCATGGACCCCTTTGTGTAGATAATGATGTCTTCTGAGTGTGAATGCTGATCTATCAGTGCCCTTTTCTCTGTGTCTACAGCTGCAGGAATCTGATCCCTGCAGGACCTTAATGTTAGGATGACAGTCTTACAGATGCCATGCATGTCTGCAGGCGGCTCATTCTTTCTTTTCCATAACTGATCTCATCTAGGTCATACCTGCTGGATTAAATCTTCAACCGTGGCTATCCAAGAGCAGGCTATTTTGATACGCATTCCTTTTGTGTCATATATAGCTTTCTGCAGTGGTAGCCATCATAGGTGCGCCCAGGAAATAACGCATGGTGTGGCAGAAGGTGTCTTTTGTTCAGCCAAGTATGAGTCTCATGGCCTCTTTTTGTACTAGGTCAGGTCTTTCTAGCTAGTTTCTGCTGACAGTGAGGAGACCCAGACCATAGTCAATGACCTTAACACAAACCCTTGATGGAATGAATGCTGTTTTGAAGCAGATGAATTACCAATCCTGCAGCTGTGGTACAGTGCCACCTACAGGCCAAGAAATGCACTGTGACGAGAAATTCATGGTGTTGTATTCAAATTATATAAAATGGCATTCTCGCCAACATTTGTACTAAATTTTATAAAAATCAAATTATTTTTGAGCTATTAAAAAATACTTATATTTGGATTGGACACACTGTATTTGTATACTGTCATATTTGCAACATTTATCCAGTAAATATACATGAATAAAAGTATATCTTCTTTTTGTGTGCTAATCAAAAAGTCATGTATGGCTGGCTGTTCTTCAACTGCCCTAACTGACAAATCATGTATAACTGGCTGGTCTTCTTGTGTGGCAATCAATGTCATGTGTGACTGTTCTTCAAATGTGCTAATTAATAAGTCATGTTTGACTGGCTGCTCTTCATGTGTCCTAATCAATAAGTCATGAGTGACTAGCAGCTCTTCATGTGTCCTAATCAATAAGTCATGAGTGACTAGCAGCTCTTCATGTGTCCTAATCAATAAGTCATGAGTGACTAGCAGCTCTTCATGTGTCCTAATCAATAAGTCATGTGTGACTGGCTGCTCTTCATGTGTTCTAATCAATAAGTCATGTGTGACTGGCTCTTCTTCATGCGCACCAATCAATAAGTTATGCTGTTTCTTTATGTGTCCTAATCAATCAATCATGTATGACTGGCTGTTCTTTTGTGTGCACCAGTCAATAAGCCATTTAAGGTTGGCTGTTCTTCATGTGCCCTAATCAATAAGTCATGTATGACTGACTGTTTTTTTTCATGTGTGCTTATCATGTGTGACTAGATGTTTTTCATGTGCCCTAATCAATAAGTCATGTGTGACTGGTTGCCCCTCATTTGTTCTGATCAATAAGTCATGTGTGACTGGCTGTTCTTTGTGTGCACCAGTCAATAAGCCATTTGAGGTAGGCTGTACTTCATGTGCCCTAATTAATAAGTCATGCATGACTGGCTTTTTTATGTGTGTTTATCAATAAGTCATGTGTGACTAGCTGTTCTTCATGTGCCGTAATCAATAAGTCATGCATGACTGCCTTTTTTATGTGTGCTTATCAATAAGTCATGTGTGACTAGCTGTTCTTCGTGTGCCCTAATCAATAAGTCATGCATGACTGGCTGTTTTTTCATTGTGCTTATCAATAAGTCATGTGTGACTAGCTGTTCTTCATGTGTCCTATTCAATAAGTCATGTGAGACTGACTGTTACTTCATGTGTCAATAAGTCATTCCTGACAAATGCTTCAATTTACTATTGTAAACTTTCAACCACAAAAACTATTAACCTCTACATAACAGACTATAAGTAATTCCCTACCAGTAGTAACCACTGTCTAAAAAACAGTATGTTCCCAAATTTTCCTCCAACATACAGAAACTGCCTTGGTACCTTTATTTGTGTACTTGAAGTAGTTCTCCCATATCTCTCTGATTTTACAACTTATGACAACAACAAAACTACTGCATAACTGCCTATATATCACAGAAGCTGTTTGAAAAACAAAAGCCTCTTCTTCCTCCGTTTTTGCACCTAAAATGTCAGCTGGCATGCTGCTAGCTAGCTCTTTCGGCCCAACACATCTGATTTCAACAAACTCCTAATTAGTCCAATTTTGATGGGTGGGCAATGGGTCTTCTTTTTTGTTCTCAAAATGAGACACTGGCTCCTATGTGGACCCAGCCTTGAGTGGGTACCGGATGCAGTCCCGGAAAGTAAACCCGGCCGGTGTGATGCTGACATCACCCATCTTGTGCCGATTAGTCTATAAAAATATAGGTCTAGCCCTATATGCCCTATACGCCTAAAGGTGTGGAAAAGGGTCCTTTACTTCACTTTATTTTTTTTTAAATGAGACACTGGAACTCATAGGGGAAGTCAAAACAAGCAATATCTGGCTGTGAAAAGCAAAACACAGCCTAAGAACATAAGAAACTAAACTACTTTATGTTATTCAAACCTGAAAGAGGGGATTTCCATATGAGACCTATACCAGGGTGGACCTTTTGCCCAATAACATACTTAATGCTAGATAGATGGAGATCTTCGGGTTTGTCTATGCCAGTAGGCCTTCTGGGATAATCTGCTGGTAAATCTTTTTGGTCATATGACCTCACAAATTGTATACATTCTGGGGGAGAGAAAACCAAAAAAAGAAGTTAATGATAAAACAAAATGTTTTCTAATTTTTAACAATGAACAAAAATTATGATCAAAAAATAACAGCATATCTGTCTAAAAACACAGTGAAGATAAAAACCTGTTCTCAAGTTTAAAGAAAAAAATATTCACAGAAAATACTGCCTGTCACCCCAAAAAAAGTGAAAGGATTTGGATAATATGTAACTGTAACCAATATAAAAACTATAAACAGCCGTGAAAAATTCGTAAACTTATAATATATGATGCTCCCTGTGTGGGTTTCAGGGCCCTATAATAGGGAAACCAAGAACAGACCCACTGCTCACTCAAAATCATGTCATAAGTAAGAGTCTGACTAATTGGGAGCTTCTTTCGAAGTCGGAGTGCATCTGCCTGAGAGGCAAGGAACCAGCAGTCTGCATACAAATGAATCAGATCTGTAAAAAAAAAAAAAAAGATGGCACACACAACACTCAGATTCTGGAACAGGACTGCAGTCCAGAAGTGGATAAACAACCAGAACTTTCCGCCAGAGTTTACAGATGGTGAACAAGAAGAAGAAGAATATATGGTACCTTTCTAATTAGAAAAATCCCAAAGTGCATCGGAAGGAAGAGGTTATGGCCATGGTACAGAGTTTAAGGGCATTTTTTTTTTAAGACAGCTACCCCTCCAGCTAACTCTCTAAATGACCACCATCTGAGTTTCTACATGGCACCAAATTTAGAATATCCATGGTCAACCACTACATCTAGATAGCCAATCCAATACCCTTCCCCCCCCCACTTACATGGTTACAAATTAGTAATGTCTTCTTCTTCTATGTTTACCCTTTAAGTGCAGTTGGCATATTGTGTTGTGGTTTACAATTAATTAGGCTGCAATATCTGCTACTTGCAGCCCAATATAACTGATTTCAGCAAACTGTTAGTTAGTTGCCTAAAACAACATGCTTGCTAAGGGGCAAATGAGAAAATTACATTGTACAGATGGACAACCTTTCAGGAACATCCTGTATGTACAATCTCTAAACTCCATTACCAAAGAACAGTGTCAACAATGGAGAGGCTGCACTTAAACAAGTGGATAAACACTTATGCAAACAAAGGCTGAACTCTGCAAACAAGAAAGTAATTGCAATGTACTCAAGAATGTAAAGATGTATCCACTGCAAGTCCACAAAAAAAAGGCTAACACTAATCTTCACTTTTTTCACAGTATCTCACTTCTTATTCTCTTTTTGTTTGTTTTCATCCTATTCTTTTTTTTTTCTCCTCCTCCTACTTCTTCTGTTCCTCCAGTTATCTTAACCCTTTCACCCTGTCTACTCTAAAAAAAAAAAATAATGAACCCGTTAAGATTCCTAAAAAATAAAAATAAAATCCATAACCACAATAATGTGTACACAGGTCCCTACTAAATTCGTTTAAAATGTGTTCATCAATATTTTAAAATTATCCTTTGAAATATAAAAATATATGACAGGAGTAATCATTAAACAGAAACTGGGGGTGGCATTTTTAAAAAAAATGTATCAGATGATTCATGTAATGACCTTTACTGCTGAGGCTTACAAGAAAATCTGACATCTTGACTTTCTAAAAAAAAAAAAAAACATTTAGCACAAAGGGAGACCCCTCTAAATGCTGTAGTTAGTTAATTTATTCATTTGCTGGCCTCCTAAACATCAGCCAACTGCATTAATTATACATCTAGTAAACAGGCTACAATTGGCAAGTTGGAAAAGTGATATTAACGTGGAACTGACCCAACCGAAAGTTTCATTGTTTCTGCTTCTCTGGATGAAAGGGTTAATGAAGTCTTGGGATGAACTGTAAGGATTATCTGCTTTATGTAAGTCAGCATTCATTTCTCTAAGGTGGTTTTTGATATCAGTGTTCCATCTTTAGCCTGGTCTTCCCTAAGCTCTGTACCCATTATCTATCAAGTAGCTTACAGCAAGATATACTTTGACATGAAGAAACTAGGTGAAGTAACATAATTATGCTCTTCTGTCTCTAAGTATGTATTGTATGTTCTGTCTGAAATGTATGTATTATGTATGTCTGTATATGAGTGTGTATATATTAGAATGTAAGAGTATGTATATGTATTACAGAATGTAAGAGTATGTGTATGTGCGTGTGTGTTTGAGTGTGTATGATTGTGCATACATGTGTGTATGCATTATTCTATAATGTATATTTTGTTATTATAAACATAACATGCATTATCGATAACAGGCATTGTACTCTGAAAGATGAGTGCTTAGAGCGGCCGAATGTCAGATGGGCCTGCATGCCCAATTTGTAACCCTTTAAAAATAAAAGTTTGTTTGTTAAGCTTCCTATGAAGCAAAAGCCCTCCAAAACTCTTCTGAAACTGCCCAGGTGTTCACAATCTTTTCAAAATCTTCCTATTTATCATAATCCTTAGGGTGCCTTTCATACTTAATGTAGGGCTTGCATCAGACCAACCATGCTGTTCAGCATCTTCGGTCTCTTTATCAACATTCATTGTAGGGTTTCCTTCGGATGCCATCACATTCTGAATTCTTTCCAACGCATTTGAAAATTATTTATGTTGATTTCCTGTTCTATCCTTCTACTTTCTTATTTCAGAGAAACTACAACAGCACAATGTCTTTAGGTTGAGGCAGTCAGAAGAGCAAGAAGTACAACCTTATTTCCCCAACTCTCAAAGCAGTCAAAGAGGAAGTGAAGAAGAAAACGTATATTGCTCTGTGCTTCTTCTTCTTCTTTCGTTCGCATGAAATAAATTGTCTATATCTGCAAAGCTGTCTCTAGTATGAATTTCACTGTCTTTTGTAATTCACTAAGCGGCCTGTAAAGTTTGACTTCCACAAGTGTCTCTTTTGGCCAAAGGTTTTGCCTGAAAGCGTTGAATCTGGGACAGTCTTGAAGGATGTGATCTGTTGTTTCAGGTGCCAGTCCACAAGTACACATGGCTGATTGGCCAATCTTAAATTTGTTGTACATGTGGTAGCGAAGTCGATTGTGCCCTGTTCTAAGGCGAAGGATAATGACTTGCTCTGGTCTGTCCATAATATGGTAATCATCTTGTGCCAGTTTCGGTGGCATTCTGATTGATTTGATCATTCTCTTCTTCTGTTGATAAGAGACTGGTATGTCAGGTTGTTCTTCAGTCGCACCTTTCTTGGCTAGTTTATCAGCTTTTTCGTTTCCGGGAACTCCACAGTGGGAAGGTATCCACTGCATTACTAATTTACAGCGGTTGCCTAGTTCGGATAATAGTGTCCGTATGCTTGGTAATTTTCCAGACTGGAGTGACTGAAGTACTGCTTTTGCATCTGTCAGGAATACCACTGGTTGTGAAAAATACCCTGTATTTAGTAGTTTCTCTGCCGCTATCTTGATGGCTTGAACTTCTGCATCATAGTTGTGACAGTGCTTTCCCGCTGGTAATTTGGCTGTATCCCTGGTATTATTAGGATACTCAATGTACACTCCCGCACCTCCGTTTCTGACTGCGCTTTCTGCTGACCCATCTGTGTAAACACGGACCCAAAAGTTCTGCGGGTATTCATCATCAAGTAGACTGAGGGTGGCTGTTTTGCGCTGCACACTGTTTTGTTCTTCCATGTCAAATACCCCTTTCACTTCAGTCTTGATGTGTATTGGAAACTTATACTCCTCTCTCCAGGGGGTCCGTTCTGAGACAGCATTTAAGGATCTATCAGTTGCAGGTAAATCAGTGGTTTGTCTGCCGAGCCGTTTGGCCTGGTGGATAAAACTACTTCTCTTTAGTCGTCCCAAAGCTAAACTTTTTGGAATCTTTCATTCATAGTGCTTGGGTGACATTTGGGGCATACTAGGTGAAACTTTTCTGCTTGGTACTCCTGAAAAGTCATCTTGCAATGGTGGTGTCTCTGCGTTCACTCAGTGCTTGGGTAAATCCCCATTTTCTCCATCACGAGCTATAGGTGTTGATTTCATACTGCTTGTTGATGTGTTTTCTCCATGTTAATCTATATCAAACCAGTTTCTTCAGTAGACCTTCTTTCCAGACCTTGTCAAAGGCTTTCTTCAGATCTATCCATGCCGTTAGCACTAGCTTCTTTTCCTGGAAGGCATCCTCAATTTCTTGTGAAAGGTAAGTTGTCTGGTCTTCTGTGGAGTAGCACTGTCTAAATCCTGCCTGCTGCGGCGTGAAAATGTTTTCACTTTCCAAGTACCATTGGAGTCTAAGGTTGACAATACGTTCCATTGTTTTACAGAGGCAGCTGGTAAGACTGATCGGTCTATAGCTGGAGGCATCAGAACTGTCCTTTCCTGGTTTAAGCAGAGGTATTGTGATTGCTTCTCTCCATATTTGAGGAACTTTGCCACTGGTCCAACAATGATTAAAGATCTGTAGCAGCTTTTTTTTGGCAGTTGTTCCAAGGTTCTTGGTCATTTCGTTGGTGATACCATCAATTCCAGGTGATTTTCCCATTCTCAGCTTTGATATTGCTAACTCTAACTCGCTGGATGTAAGTGCTGCCACCAGTGCCTCAGGAATTATATCTTTTTGTCTTATATGTTGTTTGTTTTCTTGAACCTCTCGCTGTTTCTCTGGGCTGACATTAATGTTGCTGTCTTCTGCAAAGGAATCTGCAAAGTGGTCAGCTGCCTGTTTTCTTGTTAGGATGGCTCCCTCTTTGCATAGTGCAATATTACCATTTCTTCCTGTATTCTCATCATTAATTTGCTTAATTAACCTCCACAACTTCCTTGTGTCTCTTTCTAAGTTTAGAGACTTTGTCTTTTCTTGCCAGCTTGCCCGTCTAGCCTGCAGTTTGGCTCTTTGAAATTTGGCCTTTGAATGTTGGTAGTTGTTAAACTGCTCTTGACAAGGTCTGGTCTCAGCTTGTTTTCTTTCTGTTTCCATATTGTTGTGCAGTTGCTCCAGATCGCAATTCCAGTACGGTTTGTATTGTTTACGCGCACCTCTTGGAACTGCTTCTAGGGCTGCCTGCAGCATGCGTTTGCTCAACTCTTGGACTACTTTTTCTACGTCGTTATCTGTGTTTAGATTTTCCAGCAGAACATTTGTGCGAAGCTGATACAACTTCCAGTCTGCCTTCTTAAAATTCCACCTTGGCAGTGTGCTGCTCTCTCTTACAGACTGGCTTTCTATAGTTAGAAAGACTGGCCGGTGGTCACTGCCTCCTAGTTGCTTCCCAACAGTTCTGGTAACATTCAGTTCCATGTCTGGTGAGTGAAAGGCTAGGTCTGGTGTCGAGGTGGTATGCCATGCTCTAGAGTAGAAGGTTGGTGGGTCGGTTGGCTTATTAACGAGGATGAACCTATTCTCATCTTGCCAGTCCTCTAGTTTCTTTTCTTCTCTGGTCCATATGATCGTATCCCCAACTTTGGGAATGGCTATTAAAATCCCCACAAATGATCATTTTTTCATTTATTAGTACTGTATCCAGTGCCTGAGGGCGGTCGCTCAGACAGTAATAGTTGGTTAGATGTAAATCTGTATTTTCTAACTTGAGCTCAAGTGTTTGATACTCAGCACCTTCCATGTATGTTTCGATCCGGCCCGCAAGGATGTTATTTTTGACCAGGGTAAGAATTCCACCTTTTCTCCTGTCTTTGCGGTCAGATCGGAAACACTGGTAGCCTCTGATCTTAAAGGCCATATCTTGTTTGAGATAAGTCTCTTGTAGGCAGCATACATGTACATTCTCTTCGTTCAAGACGTTTTCTAATTCTAATTTCTTAGTATTTACGCTCTGTGCTTCTGAATCATGTAAAGAAAGGTCTGCAAATGTGTCAATATCCTGCACTGAGCACATCGTCTATTTATTTTATGTCAGGCGATGTCACTTTTTTCTACTTTTCTCATTATTAAATTTTTTTTTACAAAAATGGTCCAGTTGCTCTGGCTAAAAATTATGCTATTACACTGTTAGTGTTATTTCTTTAAAAGGTATCTGATTATTGTGTGCTTTTATTTAGCAAGAACCGAATCGCTAAAAACAACAATAAATAATAAACATATTTTCAAAGTTTAAATCGGAGCTGCCGTGGTTCAGCGGCTAGACACTCGCCTGCGGATCGGAAGATCATGGGTTTGGCCTTGATGGCACCTTTTTTAAAAAATGACCTTGGCTCCCATGTCAACCCAGCCTTGAATGGGTTCCAGATGGAGCCCTGGGAAGTAAAGGCGGCTGGCCTGATGCTGGCCAAATTACCCATCGAATGCCGATTGGTCTATAAAATATAGGTCTAGCCCTATATGCCTGATGGCGGGAAAAGAGATCTTTACTTTACTTTTACAAAGCTAAGACCTTTTGTACTGCACGTATTATCTACTCAAATGTATTCTGTTCTGTGTCATTATATTTATAGTCTTGTAAATGAACAGATGTGTCAGATACATTCTGCACTGTCGATTTGTTTGTTGGGTTTTCTATTGGTCCAACGGCATCAAATTTTTATCTGGAAGTAAAATAAGTACAGGAATCTTCTTGTGCCACTAGCATATCGGACATATGACGGTCTACCTACAGACCAAAAGGCATTCGATATGTGATGTGGTTAACATCGTGCAGACCGCCATTTCTTCCCAAGGACACATTCTGGTACCCAATTTAGGTTGAACTGACCTAGAAATCAATCAATTATAACAAATCTGTCTTAGTGCGGATACAAAAACATCCAGTTTGGCAGTTTAGCAGCTAGCCACATAGTAAAGAAAAAATCAATGCCTTGCTCTCCATCTACATGTACTATCATTCCATAAACTGAAATGTAATAACCTTCTAGGACACTTACCCGTAGTTTTATAGCGCTTGATGCATATCTTATCTGAATCAACCTGTTTAAAAGAGTTCTCTTATTAATATCTCAGAAGTGATAAAACATTTCAAGAAGTGGAACCATACACATATTATCCCTGTGTGGGTTCTGGAGTACCAATGGGGGGGGGGGGGGGGGGGGGGGGGGTAAACCCACTGCTCTTCTAACCGGCATATCGTAAAAGTCAACTAATTAGGGGCGTTTCCTTCTATGTCAAAGTACATCTGCCTGAGAGGCTAGCAACCATCAGTATTTATACAAGTAATTCAGATCTGTAAAACAGATGTGCACGCAAAACTCAAGTTCTGGAACAAGACAAGTCCAGAAGTGGAGAAAAAACTAGAACTTTCCACACAAATTTAAGCCTTTGAATGCAAAGAAGAAGAATACACACAGTAAGGATCATAAAAAAATGTCAATCCAAAGCATAAATTATCTTAACAACATCACAATCACAAATGACAAAACAGTTGGACATATGCAACTATAGACAAAATAAAGACTGGTTGCAATTTTCATTCTTTGGAGAATTTTACAAGAGTTAGAACCACAGTTGTTTTTTCACAGAGAGAATCAAATATGATTCCCTTTTTTAGAAAAGTATTCAGTTTCAGAAAAGTAATGGGGGGGGGGGGGGGGGGGGGGGAGGGGGGAAAGGGGGGGGGGGGAAGGGACATTCTTTTACCGAAATTTCTTGTTCATGGACAATATCTTATGACTCTAGCAAAAAAGGGGGAACCCACTGTATAAGCAATTAGGTGCACAAAAAATAACCCACCTAATGAGTTAGGTCTACTTTACAGGTGTTCATAATGATCCAACGTGTAATCACCCCTGCCTGTTCCGAACTTCAGGACATTCTTTTACCGAAATTTCTTGTTCATGGACAATATCTTATGACTCTAGCAAAAAAGGGGGAACCCACTGTATAAGCAATTAGGTGCACAAAAAATAACCCACCTAATGAGTTAGGTCTACTTTACAGGTGTTCATAATGATCCAACGTGTAATCACCCCTGCCTGTTCCGAACTTCAGGTTACTCTGTAAACGTCAAGGCCCCCAAAATAACCTTACGGTTGAACAGGGTGTACTGGGATTTTTACATGTAGGATTGTCAACCACAAGGTGTTAATCCTGACAATGACATCTTGAAAGAAACAATCTGCAGCAGCACAATAAACCTACAGGGACATCTCGCCAACATCAAAGTAATGTTTCCCTGTTGTGAATTCAAACAAAGAAGACACAAACAACAGATTGCACAATTCCTTGCCTCTCATATTTCACTGTTTCTTCCAGATGCATACTAAAGTACCAACTGATTAAAGTGAAGCAAATCAATTATTCCTTTTAACTGCAATATACAATTGATACATTCAAAAAATTTCAGTGAGGTGAATTCAAAGGGAAGACCATGTCCGTTTGTATATTTATATATTTCTGGACTCAACCGGTTTATAGTGGTTGCTTCCATAAATCTCATCAATCTGCAGTTGGGTGAGGTGTAAACAATTTAAAACCCATTGTCCTTGTTTACAATGTGCCCAGAAAATATGGCATGTGTCAGGAACCTAATTGTCTAGGGTTCGATTCCATTGTCTCTGCTTTAGGCTAATGACAGGAAAACACTGCTGACAAACACACTCAAGCAAAACACTGGTTGCAACACACACACAATCTTTATTATCAAAGATACAAACGAAGTGGTGGTACACATCAGGAGAGGTAGCGCTCCTTATTCTGAAACCAGGCCACGTCTAACTTTAAAATCGTTTAGAGGCGCCTTTACACTTTCATGAAATAAGCTCTGAGCCGCTACCACTCTCCAGTACAGCGCCAGCTCAACCCGCGGTTTCCCAATGCCAAAGACGCTATGGCATACGCCATGTGTAGGCCTAGGTGCGTCGACAGTGCTAACGCCACCAACAATGCATGGTCTGGCTTATAGTTACAACTACTGACACGGTCTAGCTACTACCTTAAATCGTGTGTTAACTGAGATCTAACTAGAGCACATGCTACCTATTCTGTAATGAATTAAATAAATTTAATGACACAACGAACAGAACGTGTTACAGCTAATAACTACACTGGTACCTTTCTACAAGTCAAAATGAACTGTCCCTAAATCTAGCACAATCTTAACTCCTGTCCCACGTCTAGCTACAAAGCAGTCACACAAGCAAGCGTCAAGTCCAGAATGTCCAGAGTTTAGCCTGTCCACCCGTTTTGTTCTGTGCTACCGAGTTCACGCCGTGGTTGGTCAACCTTTGTGAAGCCCATTTGTCCTCGACCAAGCTACGCCTCGCTCATGCGTTCATGCTCGTTTATACGTGTGTATTCACGTACTGAGTTGCACTAAGGGTCGTAGGGTTCGATGACGAGATTAATCATCATCATACTGAACTGTCCCATATCAGGGCGAACCCTTATTTCATATATTTGAATATTTATATATTTCTGGACTCAACCGGTTTATAGTGGTTGCTTCCATAAATCTCATCAATCTGCAGTTGGGTGAGGTGTAAACAATTCAAAACGCATTGTCCTTGTTTACAATGTGCCCAGAATTCAAAATGTGGCATGCAACGCCTGATACGTGATTTTTTTCAACTAGTCACCTGTTTCATTGTTGCTGAGTTGCTGCTGCTGTTGTTCTTAGTGTTTTGTACTGCTTTTACCACCCACGGTGAAATTTGTTCAGTGACCTTTTTCTCCAGTCTTCGATCAGTTCTGCTCACATACGCAGCATTACAGGCTTTTTTAAATTGGTAAAATACAATTAGATTTGGCATACGACGACACTATCTTTAACTGGTGGCATAGGAATTACAGTAGTTTTAAATCTGATAAAAGACATGACTGCCTAAAAAGTTTCAATGACCGCTGTTTTGAGCCAGTCATACAAATGCTGCATAACATCATTTCACCATCTATACATCCATTTGAAGTTTTGCACCAATGCAGTACAAGCATGGCCTAATGTGAACATTAGCCATGCTATAAATATTTGTTCCAGTGACATGCTGCAAACAGAAATTGAAATAAATGTTGCTTTCTCATGGATATTCAGGTGGTTTTATTAAGCTCCACTGCAAGCCACTCAAAACAATTACAATAGAAATGTCAGTGCACACACACAAATTATGTCCATCTGAACTTTCTGGGAGATGAAGTTATGCAACAATTATACGTCTGGCTCAAAACAGCAGTCAGTCAAACAAGGACAAAGCATTTCAAATTATTTACACCTCAGCCAACTAACTGCAGATTATTGAGATTTATGGAAGCACTTACATCCTCCAATGAACGTAAAATTGTGACAACAGAGATGAAATGCCTTAGAAGAGCTGCAGGAGTTTCAAGGAAAGACAGAATACGAAATCATGAAATCAGACGAATGCTAGGAATAAAGCCAGTCTTAAAGGTCATCAAAGAACAACAAATGAAGTGGTTTGGACCCCTAACAAGAATGCCCTGGTACTATCTGCCACAGCGAGCCACACTAAAACGTTACAACGGGTATAGAGGGAGGGCATTAAGAACAGCCTTACAGAAATGAACATCAGTCTCAATAGTGCTCTTGACAGAGCGCATCAACGAACATTACATCTCCCCCTGACACTTCGATGAGGTACAAGGTGGAAGAGAAGAAGAAGATGGAAGCAGCCACTATAAACTGGTTTAGAACAGAATTATGCAGACAAATGAACATGGTCTTCACCTTGTGTTCACCCTAGTGAAACATACAATTTCTGAATGTAGTCGACTGTGTTTCAGTTTAAAGGATTCATTTATTTGTTTCATTTTAATCAATTGTTGCAGATACGATAGTGTTACACTGTTGCTGTAGGGAGGTATGGAAATCACGGCCCATGTTGATACCAGTTAAGGTCAGGGATGAAGGTATTCTACTTCATAGCACAAAACTGGGCAATATGGTAGATATGTATAAAGTTTCCATGTGGCATTTCCTCATTGTAGGATAATGCTAGTGTCCTCCCAAGTACACTCCTCCACTGAAAGCCGTTGGCACAACCAACCAACAGAGACATCCCACTAACAGCTAACATGATAAAACAATTCTTACCGGATGAAAGTTTTCATATACTAACAGGCCACCACATTCAGCTAGGATTCCACAGACCAACGATGCCAGTATCAACAGCCTGAGCATTAAATGCCCAAACCCATGCCCTGATCTCAACATGATTCTGTCAACAGCTGAGTAATCACTGGTCATGAATCTGGCCAAATAACTCTGCAGTGAACATCCAAAGCTTTTTCTACAACCTGCAGATGACAGAATACATGTTTATCTGTATTATCCTAAACTGGATCCTCAGGGGATGAAACAGCATGTACAGCAAACCATCTGGAGAAGTATAACTTCATCTTTATCAGTGATCAACATTTGCTACAGATCTACTACACAATGGGTCAAAAACTGAAAGGAGCACTGGAGGTCTTCATTCCTGCCTTTTAATTGATTTGCTGGGTTGATCAGTAAACCAGATTTTCTCTCTCCAACTGGCAAGATCTGAGCAATCCTGTAAGACATGCTCCAGAGTTTGCTTTGGTATACCCTAACCACAAGGTAGCCATGGTCGTGTAGCTCACCTGCAGATCTGAAGGCAGTGGGTTCGGTCCTGATGGAGCTGGAATTTTTTTCAAACATGATCGTGGCTCCACATCAACCCAGCCTTAAATGTGTACCAGAAGGTGTCCTTGGAAGTAAGGGCGGCATAATGGTGACCACATCACCCACTGAGTGTCGTTCAGTCTATAAAATTTAGGTCTAGTCCTGTATACCCAATATGCTTAAAGGCATGGAAAAGGGTCTTTTCTACCTTAAAAACATGAGCAGAGTCAATGAGGCCCATTCGATGTAAGTTTGTTCTGAGTTTGGGTTAGGTTTAAGTCAGTCTCCCCAACCAAAGTAGATCACATTTCATTCACAAGTTTGTTGGGCTGGTCTACTTTCCTGCAGGTTACAGGTGTGCTACTATGTTGTTTGCTTTCTGGGTTGTCTTGCATTTACGTTTTTATTCCAAGAAAGAGAATGCCTGTGACATAGGTTGTAGCACTTTCTAGGGGAGTTATGTTAGACCCAGTTTGTCCATGTTTTTGAAGTGTTAAAAGCGCTGACATGCAGAAATATATAACATACAATAATGGTACTGCGGAACATCCCTGTAACCTTGTGTTAAGGTCAGGTGGCTCAAGGTCTACCAATCAGAAGTGAGGTAGTGTGTATGTGGGCAGAATCTAGGGAGCACATTAGTTTTACCTGAGTCTATTGTTCCCTTGTGTCTGAAAATTCAGACTTGTGCATTTCTGCCACAGCTGTATAATTTAATGCTCTGGTCTGTAAATGTTGTAGTTTTTTTCCTTTCCAATTTGACTTCAAATAGAAAAATAATACAGCAAAGACTATAGGTACACTTGAAGCCTTTCATTTAATATTTAATGACAATTATAAAAGCTTTCTTGGCCAAACTGATCCCCTACCTGTATCAGTTTTTTCCAAAAAGTTTTCTGTGCAATGTCCCACCTAAGCCCTTCTAACATTCGTATACCCCTCTACGTAACTGAAACTTTGGATGAGTCCATTTTCGAATTGCCGCCCCGCCTCCAACAATCAAATTGCCAATTTCATTATCATTATTGAGATTAAAATAATCACCCGCGATTGAAAAGCGTTTTTTTGTTTTTTTGTCCAAGCTAATTAATCAAATTTGCGCAGCGGTGGTGTTATAAATTTATAGCAGTAACTAAGCACAGCCTTTTTTTTTTTTTGTTTTTTTTTTTGTTATTAATAAATACAATTTTGTGAACAGACAGGTGTACGTTGAAGTACAATTTTACTAAGTGCATCAATTCCCCGTGTTGACAGAGTTTGCCGTTACATTTTCAATCCATTCTCTTCTTTCCTTTCCTTCCACTTATAGAACTAAAACAGTTAACAAGATGAAAATTACTTCTCAGTAACTTCACTTACTTGTCCCGTGCAACAGGCGCAATCACGGCAGTCAGATGTTTGATATAATTAACTACAAGCCATAATAAATTGCAGATGGTCAGTGCAGTAAGAAGAAAACACTTCAACTCCGCTCTAATGATGACTACATCTACATCTTCTCCGTGTCTCTGATCCCTCTACGTCTGCCTAGTGGCCAGATTCTTCTTAACAGTGTTGCCACTTTTCTTTGACAAAAAACATCCAAAACGGAGTCAAAAAATCTAAAAACATCTAAATTTGCGTTAAAAACATTTAGAAAAAAAGATCCAAATGGAAAGAGTCACAAATTACATAGCAATTGATATGACTTACTTATAGAATCATGTCCTCATCTTTACCGAAGTCTGTCTTACAAGATCAAGATCCACATGATAAACTTAGCTTGGATGATGAAGTTGAATCTTCAGATCCAAAATGACTCTGGTATGCTTTAGCTGTTCCAATTTCTTTTAATACCCAATCAGGGAACTGATAAGTGGAACAGCCCTTTCCTACTCTTATCAGGCCGAATCTTATTGTCAAGATAGCATTTGGGAGGTCAAATTTCATCCTGTTTCTTAGGTTAGATTTGATAAATTCACTCAAATGAAAAACTTCTAGAAAGTCATCTACCATCAAAACGTCAAAAACGCCATCTAAATGCAAGGGAAACATCTAAATCTGGATGTAAAACATTTAAAGTGGCAACACTGCTTCTTAACGGTTATCGTGACATGCCAGCTTGCGATAGCAACGGTATTTGCTTTTCGTGGCCAAATCAACTTCACGGACCATTGCAGATTTTATTATTATTTTCCTTTTTCTTCTTTTCCTTTGTCTTCTTCTTCTTTTTCTTATTATTATTTTTCTTATTCTTCTGTTTCTTCTTCTTCTTTCACCCTTAAAAGGACGGTTGGCACGTTATCTTATGGCTTACATCTAGGCTGCCATATCTGCGCCTTTCGTCCTATACATCTGATTTCAGCAAAATCTTTATTAGTCGCATGTTACGACATTCTTGTTAACAAAAGAGTAGTGGTTCTACTCTACTTTATCCCCCCCCCCCCCTTCCCCCCCCCCCGTCCTAAATGGAACCCCGGAACCCATATAGGTAGTAGGGGTGGGGTAGAAATAGCGGTGAATTTATATGAAAGACACCTTTGCAGGAGTAGATAAACTATTCCAAGGTTATGGGGGAAAAAACGAGAACAGCAACTGGTCAATCAAAACGTGCTAGATATATTCTGATTCTTGTACTTTTGTACACTAATTTTTCCTTGTTCACCCGCCGCATCATCCCACTCTGGTTTCCAAAACTCTAGAACTAGAAGCGATTAGAGAGGTATTTGTGTGTGCTGTGTTCGTAGTAGTAGTAGTAGTAGTAGTAGTAGTAGTAGTAGTAGTAGTAGTAGTAGTAGTAGTAGTAGTAGTAGTAGTAGTAGTAGTAGTAGTAGTCGTCGTCGTCGTAGTAGTAGTAGTAGTAGTAGTAGTAGTAGTAGTAGTAGTAGTAGTAGTAGTAGTAGTAGTAGTAGTAGTAGTAGTAGTAGTAGTAGTAGTAATAGTCGTCGTCGTCGTCGTCGTAGTAGTAGTAGTAGTAGTAGTAGTAGTAGTAGTAGTAGTAGTAGTAGTAGTAGTAGTAGTAGTAATAGTAGTAGTAGTAGTAGTAGTAGTAGTAGTAGTAATAGTAATATTTCCAGAGTATCCTGTTCAACCCTGAGGGTCCTTATTGGGATGTATAGTGTTAAGTGAGATCTCCGAGTATATGTTTGTTACACTGAATTCACACGACATTACTTATATGACTAAAATGCAATGTGCCTGGTGTGTTCGACTTTTGTTGTTACATTTTTGTTAATGCCGGCTATCCATATTTTGCTTGGTCTTCATCTTATTCTGTGCGCCGAAACTCTGGGGCTCTGGCACTCAGCTACATGTCTAAAGTTGTAGGGGCCGGAAACTTACCCTGTGAAACTTGAAAGGAAGCTAAGCGACCCCTGTATTAGATATACAAGTTCTGTTTTCAAACGTCTGTTTGCTCATTGAATATTATGTCAAATATGGCAAATATTATTTCACAGTTCTCAGGGGAAAGGCGAGACAAATATACAGTTACTGGTGCCATCGGAACTGGAACTCTTCTATTGCTGCTGAAGATGGGGACGGAGTGCTTATGGGATGTCCGGAGTCCTGTGATGTCGATTCTTAATTCAACAATATTTTGTCAAATATATTACTGCATTTGCGTGAAGATTCTTAACAGCCTGTTGTCATGGTATGGATTGGCATCTGCATATTAACAAATATTCTGTTTTGGATCGCAAGAAATTAAGAAACATGATGATCATCTACGCTAGTGAGCAAGGCATTTGATAATGCTGATTGCGGAGTGCTACATCCTAACGTAGAACTGCAACAGCATATTATTACATAAGTTTATGGCAGAAATTGTCATTGTCAAACCAACATACCTTACCGCTGCATTTCTGGTGAACATCCTGAAAGGATTCTATTGTGTTGCAAATGCACTTCTCATAATCACTGAAGCGTAAATCTTATACATGCGTGTTATAAAATAGGAAACCGGAGCTTTTTTATGTAAACACTCACATCGGCGACCTGGTCGCCCACTGGCTCGCCGGCAGACGACTTTGTCACCGCTCGCTACAGTATTTGGGTCTGTCTTCTTTTTGTAACATTAACACTGCAGGAGTCCTTTCTAGGTCTCTTGGCGACTTGTAATTCTAAGCCACTTTGTATGGCGCACAAAACCTTGTCACGTCATCAGAATTCATTATCATCAATTCTCTTTATGCCTTATGGCACATGGGGCTTCAGAGAAGACTTCCCATGCTTCCCTGCCCTGTGCAATCGTCAGTGCAGTTTTCCAAATCAGAGATGCCGCATTCAGATCACTCTCCAAAGTTCGTCTCCAAGCTTTTTTTTTTTTTTTTTGTGCGCCCCTTTTGTCTCCTCCTGGCATCCATGTAAGTACTGTTTTGGCAGACATATTTGGATTCATTCTCATAACGTGGCCAAGCAATTATAACCCAAATCTCCCCCTTCGGGGATGCTGTTTCTTCTTCTTCTTCTTATTTGCGTTCGGTTTCGTATGCTCAGATCAGATCATCAGGTGGGTTGCCTCTATGAACTCGCATGTCAGCTGCAGGTCCTGCATGGTTCCCTATAGCTTGCTCTGCACACTTTGCTCTTGAGGCCAGGTGTCTTTTCGAAGTTGCAGGTAG